TACGTGTCGTATTTCATTACTCCACCCAGTTGTTCGAAGAACTTTCTCATTGTGACCAATAAAACTGGATAACAAATCCACTTCACATTCAACCATATCACCAATATTCACATACTGCAATGAATCATCACCACCCACCGACCCACCCTCGGTATCTTCCACAAACACATTAACTTTAACGTAATTCCCTGGGAAACAACATTTCAATTCAACCATATTCTTCAAATCAGCATCGGTTCGTAACATGCACAAGCGGTGACCAGGAATAGAATATGACATATGTACTGACAAGTTAAACAACTCCTCCCACGTCTCGCAAACTTCGCGAATCAGCTCCGAAAAATTTGAATTACCACCTAATTTGAATACTTTAGTAGCATTACCATATGTACATAACAACAGCATTATTTCCTCTATTGCCAACAAACTATTAAAAGAATAGGTACAACAAAAAACATATATCCAAACAAATAAAAACTGAAAAAATTTATACATATTCATTTAGTATGCTAATAGATTAAATGTAACATACTTTGTAATTCATGTTATGATATTGTCAGGCTAAATGCTTCTGTCTTCGGTTGGAATAAAATCTCAAACACATACCTTTGAAGAACAATATTGGCTTGCAGATGGAAGTAGAAGAAGATAAAAATTAAAAGTGTAAAGTGTTAAAATCGTCTCGCAGGTGACGAATAAAATCGGCTTCAGTCTTGAAAAAACTCTACTTCATGCACAAATATACCAGTGTTTGTTTCAAGGCTTCACCCTTAAAAATACCAGTGTAATGTCGATGAAGAACAATATCGGCTTGCAGCTGGATGGAGAAGAAGCATAACTCGCCTCAAGGCTTGAAAAAGAAGCAAAATCGTCTTGCAGGTGATGAAGGAATATACCCAGCTTTTCTAAGAAAAAAACAAACATATATTTCCCTCTTAAAAAAGGATAAATTTAAATGTATTTAAAATTTAAAATTTTATTGGAAAGTATTGTATTTCTCTCCCATAAAACTAGGACTTATTTAATATACAAATATAATTTGAAAACTAATGTCTTTTCAATAAAAAAAAGACATATTCACCAATGGAGGACAAAAATGTCACAATAAAAATAGATAAATTCAAATTATGTACTTGGATACAAATAAGTATCAAAATTAAGTACTTAATAACCCTACATATATTATTGTGGACTTTTTGCCAAATAAGTCTAACTTGGTGTACCCCTTACAATTTTCCCTTATTAGATCAATGGATTATTTCAGTTTTTTATATTCAAATAACTTAATTAGTTTTTTATTTAAATAGAGGAGATAAAAAAATGTGAGTTCAATTTATGAAGTTGCTCATGGGCAGCTTGGGATTCAACTGCGTTCGAATATAAGATGAATCGAGCTCGACCCTAATTTTAGCTCGTTTGGAAATGTTTACGGTTTTTAATTTTCAAAAAAATTAAAAATAGAAATATTTTTAGTTTTCTTTTAGTAAAAAATAAAAACAAAAAAATTGTTTGGTTTCATTTTAATGAAAGTAAAAACAAAAAACTCGTTTAGTAAACATTTTTAAATTGTTTTATGAACAATTTGTTTATACCATACACTTTTCTCGGCTATTTTAACTATAAAAATAAAGAATATAAGAATAACATACACAAGTCATAACATAATTCATAAAATTACCATACTCAAGTACGTCAAAAACGTGGACTCACAACTAACATTTATTATTTGAATTTAATTTAAAAACTTAACTTAAGAACTTAATTCAATACAATCATTAGATCGATAGTATATTTCGTATAACATTAAAATTCACAAGAAATTCAATAGTTGAAAGTGTCTGCCCGTGCAAGAGCAGCATGTGCCCATTTTACTTCAAATAATCGTGGGTCCTATACACGAACAGTAGCATGAAGAAAAGAGCATTCGCTGTTTTATAATATAGGATACATACCACCGTAGTCCATCATCAGTTTCAGTTACATGTGACTTAGTCGACGTGTGCATCATAATATCAGGTGCCCCTTTCCTAGGTTTTTCTTGGACTCTTTCTTTATATGCAGTTTGCCCATGTTGGTGAACCTATGTAATCTCGTGCATTCACAAAACAGAAATGTGTTTGGTATTACGCTGAGGGTTAATTGAATTTGGATTAATTTTATTTTTTTTAAGAATGGAGCCAAAAAATTGTGTCAAGGTGGGCACAAATATTTCAATAGATTAAATATTTTATTGCTTACAATTGATAGAAATAATAGAATAATTTATATTTAATTGTGTCATATTTAATACTTAAAAGTTTATTAAACCCAATAGACTAAAAATTATCAAACTTAGTATATACAAACGACAATAATAATAAAAAAAGATTAATTATATCCTTTTACAAAATATAGATTAATTAAAATCATTTAAAATCGATTCCGATAAATTTTCATACTTAAAAATCATTGCATAACAACTTTATTATACAGTTGTCAACTTTATATACAATCATGTTGTCACTTCGGTATATATCACTCCTTCAATTATGCAGTTTAATGTGCAATCTATAATGTCTACAATCATTAGTAAAATAAATGTCAAAATCACAAGTAAACTAACTATTATATATATAGATTTATATCATGTCTTTTCTAGTCTTAGAAAGTATAAAATAATTCTAGTATATTCAAAATTTATCTAGATAAGTACATAACATGTCCAATATGTGTCAAAAAAAAAAATAGGGTGCGTATAATTAAAAATATTGAAGAAATATTTAAAATATATTAAGAAAAAAAAATTTGAATATGCATTCAACCAAATTCTGAGTCTTTGGTTTAAGTGGTGGTGGGCCCAAATTTTTTTTCTTTTAAGTGGGCTTGGTTTTTTTATATTTTTTGGATGGATAATGATGGGCTTAACACTTTTGCCTTCTGATTTTGGGGGAACATAAGTGATATTATAGAAATATATAATATATAATCACTAGGCATAACATGTACCTAAAGATATTATTGAACATAAAAATCGATTTCACTATATTAAATTTTTTTACCATGTGTATACTATCGTGTATAGATAATATCTAAAATAAAAATTATGTTAAATTATAAATTAATTAAATATTAAATGATTGAACATGTGATAAAAATAAACTATGTGATATTTTTAGGGAGCAAACATGTAAGTGATAAAAATTCAAGTTGATTGGTGTTTTATTATATAGATAGGTAATAAAAAAAATTTTGAGGGGTGGGGGGACTTGCCCACCCTAGACCCAGCTTAGCTTCGCCCTACTCTTCTTGATCCGATCAAAAACAGGTCGTTCACGCCAGAATTAAGGAATTCATAAAAGATAAACTCTTCAAGGCTTGACCCAAAGGAATTGTCAAATTTTGAATTCAAGAAATTTGAGTTTAAAGCTCATCCATATCTCCACCGGGCTATCTTTAGTTATGTGTGTTTGTTTGGTTATTCATTGAAATCAGATCATATGTATGGTTGGACAATATTTCTCAAAGCAGATTAAGAAAGAAAAGGGAAAAAAAATTAGAACAAAATTTCCTCTCATCTCTTTTACTATTTTCTTAATATATAATTTAAATAGGGGTCAATTTAAAATATACAAAATTGCTATGTAATTATTAAGAATTTACTTGATCCAAGATGCTGGATGTGTGATGTGTGATGTATATGCCAGTCGGATGTAATCATTAAATCTACTAATAAGTTGTTTCATAGTATCTCACTGAATTAATGAGGCTCCCAATAAAAGCGGAATGGTTCCACATTCCTCCATCACACGTTCATAAATTTCACTCAATAATAGAGCACACATCGCACGTATGGATAAACATCCTCTCATAAATCGTGAATTCTACTTGAATTTATGGTACCTAATCTATCAAAAGGAGCAGTAATTTGGAAGAATAACTATGGAGATTGTATTTCTTTGGTAAATATAAGGAAAAAAAATTATATTTTCTGATCAATATCAATGTACAATGATTGTGTGTGTATCTGAGTATGTCGTGTCAGTCGTTTTAACTCATACTCAACCTATTTAAGATCATGTGTAGTTGAGTTATTATCGTGTTTAGCCAAGTTTAAGCCGACTGATCTATATTAAACAGGTATGTAGAATTGGCTCATCTATGACCAAAGTCTATTAAACTAAATTCATACCCGCTAACTTAATATCAGATTACCGAATTGTTTTAACAATTACGAGGCCCTAGGTATGCCCTGTTAGTCTATTGTAGCAAGCTAGCTAGGTGCAAAACCAACTGTAAGTACTTCATGCAGATTTACAATACAACTTTATATAGAAAGATGATTAATATAGGAGATAATCACATTCACATTCAGACCAGTGGTGATTGCATGCATCACATTCTCATTGTCACAATCATTCAAATATTGGCAGTAAATTGCATTAATAATGTTAGATTTTGTTTTCATTTTTCATGCAGCTTCTTCCATTAAGATTTGCATCAAAGAATCCATGAAGCTGTAGTCATTTATTCTTATAAATAAGAATATATTTGTACCATAAGGTGGAACTAATTGATTATTGTAATTAATAAGATACGTGGTACGCAACTATGGATTTTAGAATTACAATGGTATCCAGGATATATAACATGGTTTAATATATAGTAGATCATTCACCCCGAGGTTTGTAGTGGAACTCGAAATATATAAATAGTTACCGACTATTACACGGTGGGAGATTTCCGCCATTGCGTGAAAATTGAAAAGAATAATGTACCGGAGTGGATCTAGAACCAAACTTCTTCAATCTGCTCTCTTTCTATGACTTTCCTTCTTTGGAACAGGATCTTATCAATTTACAGCTCAACATCCAGCTAGGCTAAATGTCATCAAAATTCAATTTGAGATGATACAGGACTTTTGAGAATAGTATATATGTGTATCTACACAACACACAGTAACACACACATACAAACACTTTCTTTTCTTGCTTCTGGCCTTGTCAAACTTGCTTCAGGCAACAATGGATTCATATCTTAATGAGAGTCATATTGATGAAAATTCACCACTATATTTCTCTTCACCAGCACAAACAAACCACATAGAGTGGACTTTTGAGGAGAACAAGTTGTTTGAAAACGCGATTGCTGAGTGCAAACTTGATTCTCCAGACTTATTTCAAACAATTGCTTCAAAGGTTCCTGGAAAAACAATTCAACAGATCAAAGAACACTATGAAGCTCTTGTTGAGGATATCGAGATGATTGAATCGGGTTGTGTTCCATTGCCAGATTATAAAACCACCAACAATGATAGGGACCTGAGTGTTTCTACTCATCAGCAAAGGAGGAAAGGAGTTCCTTGGACTAAGGAAGAACATGAGTTTGTTTCTTCAACTTATTTCTTATTCTTTTTTGCTGTTAATCATGATTCTTTGTGGAAGAATAAAACACAGCACCACCTTAAAATTACAAGGGATATATGAGAACAGAAAGAAAATACTAAGAAAAAAAATTTATCTTAGACAAAGAAAAAAAAAAACTTTTTTGTCTTTTAAGAGAGTATATATGAACCATTTCTCGATTTGTACGTGTCATCCTTGTCCAATGGTTATGATAATTTTCTCTCTAACTTTCCAATTTTATCGGATGTCCTCGAAAGGACAGATCATTTAAGAGAGTATATACGAAATCCGACTTCTACGGAATAAACTAAGAACACCTTAAAATTTTACTAAAACAACATGAATTACAATTTTGAAAACCTAAAACGATTGAATTTGGCTGAAATAAGCATAGATCACAACATGGAGTTTTGATTATTATGCCATTTTTTGATAAGAGGGTGCTAGTCCTGCTCGACCATTTTACCTTTGCTATTTTCTTCACACGACGGTCTGTTTGTTTCATAAATTTTAACATTACGCAATTTTTACATCATTAATTGTTTATTTTTCATTTTTGTTTCCATTTTCATGCAGGAAATTTCTTCTTGGTTTAGACATGTTTGGTAAAGGGGATTGGAGAAGCATTTCGAGGAATTGTGTATTGTCTAAGACCCCAACACAAGTTGCAAGCCATGCACAGAAGTACTTCATCCGCCTCGAAAAGTCATCGGCCGCCTCAAAAAGCGCCACATCCACGGCCATGGCCACCTTACATTCCGATCATTGAGAGGCACCAATCATGTCTCCTTATATAACAATCTATTACATTCCCATTTTACACACAACAAATTTGAAGACGAACATGCCGATTATGGGTAAGTGAATCTCCTAGTCTCTCGGAATGTTAGAGAATTAGCGAGTGTTCTTCTTTCTTTTTTCTTTTGAGAATAAGTATGTGTTGAGTAACTCTATTACGAGTATCAGCTAGGAAAAAAACCCATATATGGCCTCCGAGCAAGTCTTAATGGTGGCGTATCTTTTCAAGACATGTTTTAGCGTTATCTTAATATATATATCTTTGTTTTTGCTTGATGGGAGTATGCCGAATAGCGGATCAAGATCCGCTCCGTTACTAGATTCTTTCAAACTTAAAGCATCTACCGTGTATTAATGAAGGATAAGATTCGCACGTTAATTTCAGTTAAATTTCTTTTGAATGCATGTTTTAGCGTCATTTTTGTTTTTTGCTTAATGGGAATATGCCGAATATGGTACCGATGGATCAAGATCCACTCAGTTATTAGATTCTCTCAAATATAAAACATCTATCGTGTATTGATTAAGGATAAGATTCGACCGTTAATTTCAGTTAAATTTATCCTGGGCGATATATAATTAAAAAAGTTGGGAAAAATTAGTAGAAAAAAAAAAACTAGTATGAAAAAGAATCAATCAAGCGATGACAACTAGGAAGTGGGCTTGGAAGTAGCCATCTTTTGAAGAAAATGATACCTCACTCATCTAGTTCCATAGCACCAAAAATGTATCAGGGCTCAAGCGATTCAATGAAGCAACAAGACCGGCCTTTTGTTAACTCTAGGTTATCTCTTTAACCTTCAAATCTCTTTTGCTCTATTAAGTATCTTTTTACTTAAGTTTTTCTTCCACAAAGAAAGAAAGACCGTTTTCTGAATTATTATGATCTAATTCAAAATGATGGGCACGATTAAGTTAACTTTTTAACACATGCTATTTTTTTTTTAATGAGAATGTGAAATGTGTAAAGGATAGTTATTTTATTATTTTATTTTACTTTATTATTTGTAATTAATGATTACAAATAGATCAACATCAACAATCAAATAAACCTTATCCCTAACTGGGTACCAACAACTAGGCAATCCACTTGATTCAAGTGATTTAGGTAGAAAGATTTGTACTTTAGTACCTATCAAAGCCCTTCACTACAAAGGTACAAGTGTACAACATGAGAGAGAGAGAGAGAGAGATTTGAAAGACTGCAGGAAAAAAAAAAAAAACAGTCCTAGGTGTAAAGGTCCCTAAAGATTTATTGGCACGTGCCCCTAGCATAATTCACACGTGGTCATTTTGTGGAAATTAATGTCATGCAAAACCAAAAAGCATCATTCATTAATTTCCAGTCGGTGAACAGTTGTTGATGGTATTGCATGGCTGTTGGTAGATTCTTGTCTCTATGCAGACATGCCTCTCTATCTTTTCCGTCAACTTCCATGTAATTGAATAATTTTATATAAAAGTTTTACGATTACTTGATCAGTACAAAAAGAAAATTGACAGGTACTTTTTTTTTTTGTGGCAAAAATTCCTTTTTTTTGATAAATATTGTGATATTAATAATAGTATATTTAATTATCTCAATATAAAGTGTACGGACCTTACGACGTGTTATTCAAAATTAGCAGACGTACAATTCGGATGTTCATACGATTATTTTGGTGACTTCATTTATGGGCGGTGTGTCCAAATATTTTGAATTGTAAAAATCACGCAAACGTTCGAATGTTCAAAGACGGCGCTAACGTTGAATATTCAAAGACGGAGCCAAGATTCGAATTCTATCAAGATCATTTAATGATTAGAGAAAAAAGAAATTGAAGACTAACAACCATAATACTTTTGAAAATTCATATCCCTTGCAATATACATTTTTTCTTAGTTTTTATTAATGATAGATTAACTACCATAAATTCTAATAGACGAATTATATAAAAGTGGATCGCTCACTATGGCGCTATCAAATCTATCATATTGAGAGAAATTAAAAGAAACACATATAAAAAATAATCCAAATATGTAGTATTTTAGTTTCATAAGTGAACTAATTTATTTATAAATGTTTATTTTTTTTTTTTTGAAAAATTTAATTTTAGTACCCTTAGAGCTTCTTCTTGCTTTCTATGTGATCCCTAAACTAACAACAGAAACGATTTAGTCCTCTTCTTAATTTCCATTTAGAATTATTGACGGATTTTGAAAGAGGGACTAAATTGAAGCATTACTTATAAATTCGAGGACATGATTATTTCAATTAATTGTTCAGGGACCAAATATAAATTAGATGCATACTTCAAAGATACAAAATATAATTAATCTGAATTTTTTTTTTAACTCCTTTTTGCCTCATTTTAGCTAAATCTCCTATATAATCTTCTAATCCTAGAGATTCTCGATATTGGTGGGATAACTTTTCCCCTTTTCTAAAATTTAAATAAAGTTTGGCAATAATCCAGCCAAAAGAAATATCTCTCAGGATCCTTTGATTTACTTTCACATTAATTCACATTTCTTTTCTTTGTTTTTTTCCTTCTTCCAACCAGATCATTTTTGTTTCAACATTCACTCAGTTTTCTGTTCTATAAGTACCACCAACCACCCATTACACCAGCAGGAGCCTTCAGGAACCAATATGTGCTGAAGAAATGTTTCACATCTCTCACTCGTATGGTGGTAGATTGTAAGGAGCAGAGTTTCTCCTCCTCCTCTCTCTCTCCGTGTCAACCCCCCCCCCCCCCCACACACACACAAAGAAAACACACTCTCATTACAAGCACAAGAGAACTTAGAGCCATGAAACTGAACAAAAGCTTCATAAACCTCACTTAATGGTTGGCAGGTTGTAAACAGCAGACCATCTAGTTATCTCTCTCTCTCTCTTTCTCTCTCACACACAGTTTTCTGTTGTTCTCTGTTAGAATCTTTTTCCCTAGAAGCAATGGAATGGCCTGAGTTCTGTGAATCACCTTCAGACCAATCTTTCTTTAACATCGTACCACCCGAAATCGATGTTGATCTCACAGAATGGACATTTGAAGAGAACAAGCTGTTTGAGAATGCTTTGGCTGAATTTGATCCTTCTTCTGCAGTCTTCTTCGAGAATGTTGCTTCTAAGGTTCCATGGAAGTCCATGGACGAAATCAAAAAACACTATCAGGACTTAGTGGAAGATATAGAGATGATTGAGTCTGGTCTTGTCCCTCTGCCTAGCTATAACACTGTTGATCAGGAGTCTAAAAGTACTAACATGATCAAGAGTAAAAATGAGAAGGGCTCGTCTTCGCAGACCAAAAAACTTACTAGCCATCAACAACGGCGAAGGGGAGTTCCATGGACAGAAGAAGAACATCAGTACTGTTCCTAAGCTTTTATAACTCATTTGATGTTTTTCTGCTATGATTATGTGAGTTTCAAGTTTGATTAATTCCTTTTTATCCTCCTTGATCAGGCCTGGAAATTTGTATCTTTCAATGTTTACGAGTTTTTTTTTTTTTTTTGTGAATTTTCATTGTTGTTGAGTTAAGATTTTCAAGTTTAATTGGTGAGGTGATTAGGAAGTAGGGGCTACTCCCCCAAGCATTTTCGGGTTCAAACTCGCCACTCCCCTTATCTTCCAAAAAACATAGGAATATATGGACTGGGGAATATCTTGGTTTTCCATTATTTGCATGTTTTCTTTATTTGTTATTTTTATTTTTTGGCATTACAATTCTGTCACTTCATTAGACCCTATCCCTCAGATCAATCCACAGTCTTCATGGAGTGAATTTTTTTTCATTGAGAGTCTAAGACCATCTTTTCTCCAATAGTTTTACATATATAAATGCTCTCTTAAATTTCTTCTCCTTTAGAGATTTCTGTGAACAACCTTTCTTTTAGGGTTGATAGTTCTTTTTTTTTTTTTTTTTGGTCATTAGGGTTGATAGTTCAATAGCTTCTTTTCTCACTCGTGTTTTGGTGGTGGTTTGTTGGATTTTTTTTTTCAAAAAGTAAATAAATTTTCATTCATGTGAAAATTTTGTGATGTACATCAAAACAAAAAACCAATACAAGCAATGAATCCCCATTGGTGAGCAAAAGAATGGGGAATTCCTAAGAGGTACAAAGCTTTAGCTGAGTACCCCATGGGAATTAGCCCTAGTCCTATACAATTCTATGCAAAACAAACTTAGACATCATAGCAGGCATGAGGTGGGAAGCTGTTAGGTTAGAAGTAACTTTTGTTCCTTCCAGTGTTCTTGAATTTAAGAGAAAGCATTCTGTCCCTAATGGTTGGACAATAGCTTGCAAGATTACTTTGGAGTTCTTGGATTGGTGGCTATGGAGCCTTGAGTTCCTTTCTCTCCAAATGGAGTAAACAGCTACCGAGAGGCATAGCTTTTGAAGGGTTTTGAGCATGGATTTACCCTTTCATGTTTGAACTACTTGATCAAACAGAAGTTGCCATGAAGTAGTTTGTCATTGTTCACCACATAAATGCATCAAATGACACCAGATGAACCTTGAGTACAGGCAAGCAAAGAAGAGATGTTGGTGAGATTCTTGGGAATGGTTGCATAGGCTGCATTCAATCCCAAGTTGGGCAGCACAAGCTAGGGTTCTATCTCTTGTGCGTAGCCTTTGTCTGATAGCCAGCCACAGAATAAAGTTCATTCTAGGGATGCCTTGAGAAAACCATACTAGATGGTACCAAGGTACTCTAGTATGTTGATCCCTAATCTTATTCCAAGCGGATGATGAAGAGAATAGGGCATTTGGGGCTAGTGTCCATTTCACAGTGTCTTCTCTTAGATGATTTGAGAGATAGGAAGGCATGTTCTGAACGATATCCACCAATTCAGCAGGAACAATTGTTGGCCAAGACCATTGAATACTATTGACAATGATGCTAACCTTTGAGTTTGTTGACAAGCTAGATTCATCCATGGTGGTGGTGTTGCAGAAAAGTGACAGAGGGCCATAAGCGTGCCAGGAATCATGCAAAAGACTAGTGTTCATACCATTGCCTATAAGATGCTGGAGTTTCTTGTGGGGAGTTTCGCATATCCCTGGTTCTATTCCCATGCTCCATTGGACACCCTCCACACTCTCTCTCTCACACACACACAAATACATCAGTTAGACATGTAGAAACAACTGTGATAAATCTTTCAACAGTTTTCCTCAATCTCTCTCTTTCTCTCTCTGTTTTTTTTTTCTGCATGTTAACCATGATTTCATTTTCTTCATTGTCATCAAGTTAACTTTCTTTGTTATTTCTTTTGATCTCGTGTAGGAGGTTCCTCATGGGACTAAACAAATACGGAAAAGGAGATTGGAGGAGCATATCAAGGTACTATGTTGTAAGCAAGACCCCAACCCAAGTTGCTAGCCATGCTCAAAAGTACTTCAGACGCCAAAACAGCTCCACTCCACTTGATAGACGCAGGCCAAGCATTCACGACATCCAAACTGTTAATCCATCCTTCATTTCATCGACTCAGAAGCAAAATTACCAGCCAAACAATGAAGATCCAGTTCCCATTTCCAATCTTTATGGGAATAATATTGCTCCTACGAACAACAATGGTGAACTCAGTGACTTTGCCAGCGGTGGCGGCGGCACCTCTTTTCCGCCGGCGGCCACCACATTTGCAATGGGAAACAATATGAACAGTCAAGTCTCCGATGCATACACTTCATCGTATCTGCTTGGTTCTTCACTGAGGAACAAATACTGGGGTTAAAGATGGAAGATGGGGAAGAAATAAAAATGTTTGTTAAGTTGGTGTCTTGGATAATCTTTAGCTGTGTCCTTATGCTTATGCCATGCATTTCTTGTGTTCTTTTTCTTTTTTTGTTTGGTTTTTGTTTGAAGGGAGGATTTTGTCTTGCTTTTATTTTGTCTTTTATTTTTTATTTTTTGCTTTTGGTTTCCTTTGTTTTTGTGTATTTGAATATTTTAGTAACAAAAAATTTTTATTTCAACCACCGACGGTTCACAACACCCGTGAGAACGAGTTAAGGTTAACTAATTATAAGACGATATAAATGGATAATTTAAATAAGACTAATCTCATCAGTGTTCCACATCTTCATAACAATTTTCTCCTTTTGTTAGCATGAATTAAATGCCAAGTTGCATATACAAATTGACTCAACAAGAGAATTGTTGTTTGGAAATATATAGTTAATGATGTTATTTGGACTAAATTTATAAGTCAATCTTGTCAAACATATTCGATATTGTCATTAGATTAGCAATGAATCTAGTCCAATATAAGATTTTTTGATTAATATTACGACAATGGATTTTATCAACATATATTTTGTCCCAATAACATTATTTCATCAACCTTGACTATTGGCAATGTTTGGTGTTCAAGAAATCTTAGGTTTGATATTTCTCACATCCCCTAAGAGTCAGTTATCATTGATTTTTATGGTACATATTCTTAAATTAGCTCAAACTACATTGATCAATCTCAAAGCTCAAGACAGTAGTTGATGTAAGCTTGGACTCCTAACAGAAAAAAAATATATACAAACTTTTGCTTTATGATTTTAGCCTAACTTTGAAAATTTATAAAATCCTAAACTATGCGAGGAAAATTTTGCACTAGGAGTCACCACCTCATACGAATGAAAATGATGGTGAGGAATCCTTGAATAACTTGTAAGACAAAAGACACCTAGGTGAACCAATGGTCGGGGCAGTCTAAGGGACTCCGATACTTAAATCAGATTATAAGTCAAAGAAGAGTATAGAGTTAATATGCTAGGATTGAATCTCTTACTTGGTATTCGAAGACTTTTATTTATAGTGGTAGGAAGTTATACCCCAAAGGAACTCAAACTCTAAGTTGTGATACGATGAACCTAATCATCAACTCCTAGATATCCAAGATAGAGTTAGACTAGAATTCTTGCTCCTAGATCCTTATCATTAGCTCCTAGTTGTTTGAAATAGTATCGTACTAGGACTTTAGGTCTTAGGTTGATCTTTAGTCGAGCAGAACTCGTCTAGTAGAGATGGACACATAGAAGGTGTGGTAGCAAGGTGTGTTCCCGGCCATGGCCAAGATGTCTGCCGATCAGCATAGCCTTAGGTTCCTTATATCAAGCTTCTAGCCGACTAGCTCCAACAAGACTATTTGCCAGTCGGCGTGCAGTGAGGCAAGTGCCAGTCGGCCATGGGCGGAGCCAGCATATGCCCAGGGCGACACATGTCCACCCTCAATTTTTTTTTTTTAACATTACTTATATGTATTTTAAGTATTTCTTCAATATTTTTAATTATGTCCACCCTATTTTTTTGGCACATCAAATATTGTACATTTATATCAAATGAATATGAATTTTTTGACATATTTTAAACATGACACGTACCTATCTAGATAAATTTTGAATATACTAGAATCATTTTATATTTTCTAAAACTAGAAAAGACATGATATACATATTAGTTTGTTTCCTTGTGATTTTAATATTTATTTTGCTAATTACGGTACACATTATGGATTGCGCATTAAACTGCATAATCGAATGAGTGATAAATACTAAAGTGATAACATGATTATGTATATAAAGAATAATAAAGTTGTTATGATATGGTTTCCAATAATGAAAATTTATCTGAACTAATTCTGAATGATTTTAATTATCTTATATTTTATAAAAAGATATAATTAATCTTTTTTTTTATTATTGTCGTTTGTATAAACTAGGTGTTGGTTTTACATAGTTGATAAATTAACACAAATAATATAAGTTGGAAGATAGGAATTTAAAAATAGAAAAATAATAAAAACTTGATATAAAGATACAATGTGGTTCGATTCAGCATACTATCTTGATGCATTGTACTTATATCCATGGACTAAAAACTTACATCGATGTATTATTCAGTGAAAAACTAATCATCTGATAACTGATTATATAATACTCAATCCTATTTATAGGAATAAAATATTGTAACTGAAACTTATTCAGATACAACTTAATATTTATATTGTTTATCACATTTCTAACATATCTATTTATGGTATATTAAAACTCTTTCAATATTATCCTATTTCATATAAATTCTCACATTGATTACCCAACAAAATCTCATTCATAACAATTAGAGTTTGGGTCAAATTCCAATAGTCTCTCTTGAACCAAACTCTTCAAATTTGGTCATGCCCAAAATCAAGTTTAGCATCCTTGATTTTGATCCACCAGTTTTTTCAAGCACCACGTGCAAACCCGACTCTTTTGAGTCGCCACAATCCTTTCTGTCTTTCAAGAGCCTATATCTTGGTTTGCATCATCTGTGCATCTCTGCTCGCATCTTACTTGTTCTTGGGAGGTCTCAATGGCCTAATGACTCGTAACCCACGAGACACTACATCATCACTATTGGGTTTATGTCAGTCCAATAACTCTCAAACCATTATAAAACTATGACTTCAACTCTAAGAGCCCAAAAATCTTAAAAAATATCTTCAACACAGCACGTATGGTAATTCTTGATATCCAAACAATCAAGAAGTAACTTAGTCTTTCGTTTAGTTTCATACCAACTTTAATTTTTTCCTTGTGAATCTAAACAAAAATATGAATTGTACATACGTGGCAAGAGAATCTTCTTCAACATGAACGCTAACTTGATCATTGGATCTTCGATAACCCACTTTAGTTATTGCACTAGGATCGTCATTCTACCTCTGATTGTTTTATTGAGATCATTAATCCAGTTCTAATTGTTTTATTAGGATCATCAATCTGACTCTAATAATTCTATCAGGATTATCAATCTGACTTGTTAGAATATAACTCTGATACCACTTGTTGATTTTGCACAACGGATAATTAACAGAAATAACATAAATTGAAAAATAGAAATTCAAAGACAGAATTACAATAAAAATATGATACAAAGATATAACATGATTCGATATACAATACTCTCTTGGTACACCATATCTATATTTATGGATCAAAAATCTGCACTGATGTATTATTCACTAAAAAATTGGTCATCTGGTAACTGATTACATAATACTCAATCCTATTTATAGGGATAAAATACTGTAACTTAAACTTATACATATACAATTTGATTTTTATGTTTCCTATCACGTGTCTAACATGCCTTTTTATGATATATTAAAATGTTTCCAATATAATTTTATTTCATATACGATTCTCACATTAATTATCTAACAAATTTTCCTTCATAATAATTAGAAATTTTGGGTCAAATTGCCACATTTTTAACATATCTATTCATGGTATATTAAAACTCTTCCAATATAATCTTATGAGTAATGTTACACTGACCAAATTTTGTGACCAAATTTGGAGCCCAAATGACATGGCAGTTGATTATTTAAAGTTTTTATTGGGGTCCAAATGACATGACACCAATCAAAGAAGTCCAAGTCAACTGTCATGTCATTTGAGCTCTAAATTTGGTCTTAAAATTTGGTCAGTCTAGCAATACTGTAATCTTATTCCATATAGGATTCTCACATTAATTACCCAACAAACTCTCATTCATAACAATTAGAGGCTTTGAGTCAAATTTCAACACTTGGATTACCAATTTTTAGTCTATTGGGTTTAATGAACTTTTATGTATTAAAAAGAATGTAATTAAATATAAATTATTTTCTTATTTTTATCGATTGTAAGAAAAGAATTAATTTGTTAAAATATTCGTGTTCACCTCGACACGATTTTCTAACTTCACTCCTGCGGTCAGTTAGAGAGGGTGAATGTTGGTCAACTAGTGCCATAATGGAAGACTCCACAATTCCTCAACGTTATTGAAACCTAAAAAGTTGACAAAGAAAATAGCAAGAAGGAGGAAAGAGTCTTGGGTTCAATTATTCCTTTTTTTTTAATACTTGGGGACCAGTTTACGCGCACTTCGATTATTTCTCTCTTCGATTCAATTAAAAATAGGTCATTCACACCGGAACTAGAGTATTTATGATGGCTCGGTCGTAAGTGATTGTTAAGATTAGAATTCAAAACATCTTTATAACTCGTTCTTATTAGTACTTGAACTACCACTTGGGTTCTTTCAATCTTTCCTCACCATCATCTTGTCATCGCCTCCGCCTCACCCCATTATTAAACCGTTACATGGTAAATTGATTTTATTAAAAATTTAAATGTGAATTAGTTAACAAAGATAACGAAAAAATTCAAATTTAAAGGAGTCTTAAAAGATGATAAGAGTAATTATATGAGACATATGGAAGGTTTTGATTGGATAAGATCAATATTTTAATTAAATAATTAAATATTAAGAAAATTTAGTGTTTAAGGAGTGAAGACTTCTTTAACACGCACTCTCTCTTAAATTATTTAATTATAGGATATATTAGCGATTGTTCTGTGCAATGCACAAATTTATAATATCACCTTCCCCGCCCTCCGCTCATCTCTCCACCCCCAACTCTGCTCTCACTCCCATTGTTACCCTACCCCCACCACCTTGTAACATTTTAGGAAAATTATTTACAAATATGATGGATTGATATTTAAAAATTTAGATGTCAATTAGGTAATAGATATAATGAGAAATTCAAATGTGGAGTAGTTATCAAAGAGTTAAAAGCTTTTACATAGGGCACCACATGTTGGAATTCAATTAAAGGAGGCCAACACATTTCTATTAAATAATTCAAAATTATGAGAAAATAGTATTTAAGGAGAAGAAGCTTCTCAAGCACTCTCTCTCCTAAATTAATTCTTATAGTATATATTAACAGGATACACAAAATTTGTTATTTCTTTCTACCATGATCTTACCACCAAACCCACCCTAATTGTAATATTACTAGATAATTAGCTATTAATGTAATTACATGATATTCATTTAATTTTTAAAAAGTTGAAAAAGATAATTGAAAGTTTAAATTTTGAAATAATTTTAAAAAGTGGTGGGAGTAATTATAAAGGACACATGGAATAATTTGACTGGATTGAACTAGTTAAATATTTCAAAACTTTAGTAATTAAGCATTTAAAGAGAGAAATATTATCAAAGCGTCTCCTACCTATTTTGATTGTTTTATATATATAGATAGACTAGTTATTGCATATGTCTGAAGGCACAAAGTAATAAAAAATAGTAAGCAATAAATATATTTATATTCATATCTAAAATTAAATTTCAAACATAGAATAGAGATAAAGAAATTTGAACATCGATTTGTAGTGGAAGTGAGAGATAATAGGCGGTAGTGGTGATGGTAGGAGATAGTAATAGTTGTGGTGGTGGTGGCTGCGACGACGGTGGTGGTGGCAGCGGTGGTAGAGGTAGTGGTGGAGCGGTTCAAAATAATATTTTTTTTTAAGGATTTATGAGAAATAATTCATAAAAGCACTTTTAAAAAATTACTCCAAGCACACCTTTATGGGCTTATTTTTTCCTATTAAATTTAGAGTTTAATATTAGTCGTTAGATTAACTTTAAAGTAAAATTTAAAGCGATCTCAACCGCGAATAGCAAAAATCATTTTGTTTTTTTTTTTACATTTGAATTATAAACTACTTTATTATATAGACTAGTTATTGCATATATCTGAAGACACAGAGTAATAAAAAATAGTAAACAATAAACATATTTGTATTTATATCCAAAATCAAATAACAAACATAGAGAAGAGATAAATAAATTTAAGTATTGGTTTGTAGTGGAGGTGAGAGGTGGTGGGCGGCAGTAGTAATGGTATAAGACAATAATGGTTGTAGTGAGTGACAATGACCGTGATGATGGTGGTGGCGACGACAGGGGTGATGGTGGCAGCAACGGTGGTAGCAGCGATGGTGGTGGTGGTGGTGGCAGCGGCGATAGTGGCAGAGCGGTTTCAAACACTATTTTTTTTAAAAGCATTTATGATAAATAATTTTTAGAAATAATTTAAAAAAATCACTCCAAACACATCCTTATGACCTATTTTTCCTATTAAATTTAAGGTATTAATATTAGCCGTTAGATTAATTTTAAAATAAAATTTAAAACAATCTCAACCACGAATAACAAAAATTATTTTATTTATCTTTTAAAATTTGAATTAAGCTACTTTATTATATAAATAGTATAAGTAGCCAGAAAAAACTGCTTCCTTTTTCTTTTAGGGAGTACCCAAGACCCCAGTTAGTCCAAAACTCAGGCCATGAGTCCCTAAAAAATGATAACTCCAGTGATCGACCTCTTCCTGTGCAAATCATTCAGAGCCCTGTTTCTTCCTGGGCATTTGTAACAGGTAAAATAATTCCATTGTGACCTCACAGAAAGAGTCTCTGCAATTGGGTAAAATTGCGAACTTTCTCAAACTTCCGAATAGCAAAATCTCATACATTATGTAGCAGGTAAGGCTGAATGTTGGTCCACAATGCCAACGCCCTCTCCTTTCTATGCCCCAACGATCTATCACTCTTTTTCTCTACCTCGGGAGTAAAGGAGAGATTTAGTTTCATTTTATGGTAATTCTTTAAGACAGTACACCATCGAACAGTGAGCCAGTAAGGTGCTCATCTCATAGGCATATGAACTTTCAGCAATCATTTCGCATGTCAATTAATCGATAACATGAGCTATACCACCAAATCGTACAACTTATAATTAGAACATATAAATGCTGATTTAATAGGACACATAATTTTATGGTCAAGGGTAGACATGAGCAGAAATAAGCACTCAACTCCAGAAAAACAAAAGGCTGGTGTCATTGCAACATGGAACTAATGCCCAAGTCAATTACACTTACACATAACTGTCGATCAGAGATTTCCTCATCTCATCAACGATGGCACTTGGTTGGGCTTCCCTCAACTTGAAGACAGACTCAATAACAGACAGTTCTGTTGCTGTAGTGTCTGATCCACAGAATGCAGTCCAATCGTTGACTATCAAGCCAGCAGCTATCACTTCACTACCACGGTTCACAGTTCCTGCCACCAAAGGAACCTGGAGGAGGGTTGAAAGCTCATCCAAGTCTTCAATGGAGGTATGAGGATGGACCTGCTCAAAGACCAGTTTAGGTGAAAATAGAACGAAGAATAAATAACCAAACTCATTAAATTCTTTCATTTGCTCCATTCAAAGGTACAATTTCTTACCAAGCCACCTCTATTAGAGAATGCACAGTAGCTGCCCACCAGAATATTACCAGCTATTGTCTGCCTAAAAACTTCAACCCCAAGAACATCTGCAATCATTTCCTCAGTTTCCTGATAAAACAACACAGGAGAACAACACATGAGCATCTTGCATCACTGAAAACAGCATGTCTGCAACATGCAAATGATGCAAGGTGGAACTCACCATCAACCATTTTCATGCACTGGGGTTTGTTAACAATCATGCACGAAAAAACACCAGTATCTGAGAAACAGATTGATGGACAAGGCTCGAGATGCCACAAGTAACAGAGCGCATCTAGATAAGGAAGAGTGGTGCATGAGCCTAACGGCTAAAACTTGAAAGGCTTTGCTGGATTAGATAAATAGATGTATAATTTTCCAACTCCTTTTTGGTGATACCATAATGGAATTTTGCAGAGACAATGAAAAGTCACAACGATCTGCAATTTGCTAGTGCGGATCATCTTTTCAACTTAAAGGATTAAGGAACATAGGATCAAATAAACAGAAGAGGTGTCAAACACAGAGATTGACACTGCAATGCAGCAGGACAGAACTACTAGAAAACATGGGAGACATGGATTTGTGACCACAGACTTAAACAAACACAAAGCAATCAGCATCCAAGGTTTTAGGATAACAAAAATCAATAATGCATATAATACAATATATATAGGAGAACAAATGGGTGAGATTAGACAAGATCAAATACTATAGGTAACTAAATTTGATTCTTATGCTAGCCTATCGAGAATCCACAACGATGGAGATCTTTAGGAATGTTTATGGACACTGATTGTGAAAAAAAAAAGAAGATGAGATGCCTCCACTGGGATCAGAATCTTTATTTGGATTGCTACCATGCGGGGGTGTAGAAATTGACAAAAGGTGGATTGGCCTTCAACACCTTTGAGGTGTTCAGTTCAGGCCTTATTTGGCAAGAGTTCAGCTGTAAATGAAGGAGAGAATCTAAAGACTGACACTGATTGCTTTAGTTCTTGAATCACGGCATGTCTCCAATCTCCTCCTTTAAAGACATCTTCATACAGCTTATACAGACAAACTTGAAGTGGAAATGGGATAAATTAATGGCTAAAGCATAGTCTGTGATCAACAAATACTCATTACCCAATTTAGTCCATGCTGACCGAATTGTAGGGAGAAGTGGCTAGGTAGAAACCTAAATGCTTAATTTTAAACAGAACACGTTATAAAATAACTTTAAGATCAATGATATTTAAGGTATCTAGAATGGGCACTGAAGCCACAAGGTTATCATAAAACAAATATTTGAATAAAAGATACTGAGATAACAGGACATAGGAGGAGATTATTAATGTTTGAATGCATACATAGAAGTTAGAGATGGCACAACCGAGGAAGTGATTGAAAAAAATATACGAATGAGATTACATAACCATCTGTAGCAAACAATCAAAAGTTGCATGATTAAAAAGGAGTACCTAGGTTCGACTTGAAGCAACAACAAAAACAGTTAAGGTCATTTTTTGCATAAAGAAAATTCAAAAACTGAAATAAAAAGGTGTCACTGCCGCAAAAGGAAGACAGAATAGCTAGTGATTTTGACAGATATTACCAAATAACGAAATGTAAAAAACCACGAGAAGTTGGGACACAACGCGGTTAGAAAAACATGAACATTACAAAGAAAAAAATCATATGCAAAGTAGGACAATGGGTGACGCCCAAAGACAGCCCACAAGAGCAGATGAGCAAAGGTCAACACACACACCCTATTCACTTGTGTAAAGTAGATTAACTCATACATCGCTTTGAGTGTGCTCTTCCATCATACCACCAGCATATGAACTTCCACCCTCACTAAAAGACCAAAAGGAAGAGACAACCAAAATGGACCACTCAATTAAGAGGATAAGAATATCTGTACATTTGGTAGACATATACCATTCCAGGAATTATTCTAGATACACTGTTCTTTGCTGAATTTATGAGAGAGAGGGAGATGCAACAAAAAATTATCTTATCCACAAGGATTAGCATTGAAAATTCAAATTGCTAGAAAGAAATTTGATTGGCAAACATTTTGTCCAAAAAAAGAGATGACATTACCCTGTCCAGATCAGTGTGCGTAAGAGCAACATGGTCATTGCATGCAATGCAGTTCCCAAGAGCAGATAGTCTCTCTTCAATGCGCTGAACAACAACTTGATCTGGCAGACTGTTCCTTAAGTGTTGAAGTTCTTCAATAAGTCCAACAAAAAATACCATCAAATGTGAGTCCTCCATTGGTAAACACTGACAGATATCTAAACTAAAATTTGTAAGACAGCTGAAGTAAATTAAAGTACGCATGAAGCAGAAATGAAATTGGATTGTAACAGCTTGAGAAAGATATCCTTCAAAAAACATATTATAGCTAATAAGTAACTAACAAGTCCCAAAAAATTCGTAACTGCTGAATCCATTGAAAATAAACACATCAGTAGAAGTTACCAACCAATACTTCTAGACAAGCACCAGCTTGTTTAAAACTGTTTGGAGTTTTAATAATATATCTGGACACACATGCCCTTTAATTAAATTGATACCACTAGCTGATATTGCCAACATTGGAGGTCAAAGGACACCACAGCATATCCTGGTGCAGATTAATCATTGTACGTAACACCACTGACTGATACTGCAAATAAGGGAGCTTAAAAGGCACACGATGACCAATGAGACTTTAAATACATAATCACAATTCATCAGGTTTTTTTCTGGCCCAAAATAAGCTCAAATTGACCAAGGATGAGCTCGAAAATCTTCAAATATTAGTCATGCCGAAAAGAAGAATCTGATATTTTATGAAAACCAACAATAGTTTACAAAAGTGTAACTACACACAACTGTGGAATTACAAAGTTTTCATTAGCATAACTTCCAAGTTTCTTTCACGGAATTTTAACCAAGCTTCCAGTAAATTGCCAAAGCCCATGACATGGTATTCAACTCATAGAACATATGCCAGAGCTCAAAACTGGGATACAGTTTATAAATACACATTGCCCATACCAACCCAACTTTTCCTCATATGAACTTTTTTTCTCCTGTGACCTGGACCCCTAAGGCATTATGCATGAATAATCTTAATCATTTGAATAAAATGCCTAAGAGTTCTGCCAAGTTCTTGTTGTGTTAACTCTTCAGTTTGATGCCTAAATCCAACTCTATTTCTGAAAAAAACACTATATATCAAAATTTTTCTTATCAGAAAAAGCAAGCAACTACTCATAAAATTAAGCTGATTGATGGACAGACAGCCACATAAACTGTCAAACTGCAAAACCTTGTTTCCTGTCAAAACCTATCATGTAGGCACATGTGAGTGTGTGTGTGTGTGTGTGATGTAAGGATCAAATTGCAAATCCTGTTAAAAGCATGGGGAGAAGAGTGAAAAAGAAGAAACTTGCAAAAAAAATGCAATTAATGACAAGAACAATAATAAATTATGGATAAAATATGTGTACAATACTTCTGCAAGTAGTAATGTTTGTGTCACAGAATCACCTTGGTCGGTAGTTGTGTGAGGCACAAGAAGCCCATTTTTGTTTCCTGCCATACAAAGCATGCAATTGCATTAAATTACTCATTATACAGTTCAGAACATTTCATAAGGGCATTCTTGTGCAATATTATAAAAGAACGTCAATATCCTCACCGGCACAAAGTCGTCCAATTATCCTAGTCCCACCAATGGAGGTTTTAACCACCGGAATAACATCCACTAACTCACCCTCAAACAAACTGCACGAGACGTTATGTTAACCATATACATATATCTACTCCAACCAATTATGAACTACAGAACACAAAAGACTGGATGTACTCATCAACGAAACAAACCTGTAGAAATTTTCAGAACCTCCGATGGCAACCAGACAGTATGCATTCGTCAGCTTGGAAAACACCCCAACTTCACATGAGTTCTCAAATTGCAGCCCTTCACAAAACTCATGCCAGATTAGATCAATTAAATCAATAAGAGAAAGGTTTTTGTTTCACAAATTCAAATAATAAAACCGATTAAAATCCTATAACCAGTCAATTTCATTCCAACCACAACAAATCTCTCTCTCTCACACCCACACCCACACACACACACACACACACACATATATGTTGATACAAATTGGGTACCTGAACAACTTACTAGTTGCCATGATGAGAAGAAAAAAGGGTTGGGAGTAATTTATGATTTCAGAGAAGGAATAGATCTGCAAAAGTCATAACACAGCACACAAATAGTTTCAGAAAACGAACCAACAATTAACAACGGGTGTGTGAAAAATTGACACCCAAAACAAAAAGAGATTCAAATACCTTTTGCTCCAAGTAATCAGTTTGCCTCAAGACCGCAGCTTTGACGAAACGCAATTCTTCAATTAGGGTGTTGTGGATAGTGTTTTAAACAAACGATGATTTGTGTTTTAGGGTTGACTTTATTCGGCTTCATCTATGGTCTCAATAGTACATAATGTCATTAATAAAAATCATGGGGCTTGAACTGAAAAAATGTTAATCACACTTTTTACCTCTAAAATATGATCCAACTCAACTTTGATTCTTAAACCTTTTTGTGTCGATGTCATCCTCATTTATAGTTATTATTAAAGCATCTCTATCCTTGACTCAAATTATTACTTAAATTTAAGTAAAAAATTTAATTTAATACAAAATACTTTAACAAAAAAACTCAAATTTAAAAGAGAACAAATTCAAACTTAAATGAAAACAAATTCAATTTAAGAGAAAATAGAATATAACCATTAAATCTTTAAAATATAATGAAATCTGATAATTTTAGAGTAAAGGTTTAAGTCTCCCTACATTTTGGAAAAAATTTATAAATTATAAATTTATTTTTAGGTCTAAAGTAAAATAAATAAAAAAATTTGAGAAAATCCTCCAAAATAATATATGTCATAGTCTTACCATAGTTTTTGGCTAGTCTGACAAAAGATAAAACACATCAACCGTTTAAATTGAGCAAAATCCGCATAAAAATTGGTTCATTATAAAATGATGTTTCAATTATTGGATAATAAAAACTATATAAGAGCCTAAAATATTATTAGTGTTTTTTCTTTACGAGAGAATAATTGTACAATTATAGTGTTTGAAATTGACTAAACCTAATTACAGAACAATCTGGGATGTAACCCAGAGGGTGTGTGAACATGTGTGTGATAGAAAGTGTGTCAAGTGTTAAATGTTAGACAAACACCACAATAAGAGTGGTTCACTCTAATCGAAAGACTAAAGTTACATCTACAAGAGGCTCTTACTATTTGAGAATTGTATTGTTTGGGAAAGAAGATTGTTGTTACAAGATATTTAGCTGAAAGTTTTTTACAAAATATTGCATAGGTTATTTCTGGGTGGTCTCTTTTTTCTATCTGTGTCTTATCGTTAGTTATTTATGCATCCGATTGTTAGGTTTTCGTGGTGATTACATTTTGGTTGATTTTGTGATCTTCTCTGTGTTTGTCTTGTTTCGGAGGCTACCATCTTTGTCGCTTTTTATGCATCAATTACACATCGATTGAAATATGTGAGTCATCTCTACTACCAGTGGATATTCGTTCATCAGAATTATCAAGTATTGCCCTCTGTCCCCTATCCACGTTGTTGTGTTGTAGTTCTTGCTAAATAGCTTGGTGTCCAACTTGAGTCCAATAAATGTTATCTGAATGAAGTGATTTCGCCTTACGTGAACCCAAAGAATTTTGGGCTCCAAATGAGGCACATACTTAAATTCATCATCATCAATAAACATCAAATTATCACACAAAATTACAATACTCAATACAGTAACTAAAAATAGAGAAGAAAGTAAAGGCGAATATAATTTGCAATTAATCAATTAGTCCTCCATCACTCTTTCAAGGACGTAAGGTTGAAAGATTGAGAATAATTGACAAATTTTAATATGCACAGCTGTAATCGGGCTGCTCATTGGATGACAGCTGCTAAACTAACCAATTTTCTACCTTTGAACTGGTTAGGCTTCCCCTCTCTCGAGCTTAAGGCTTCCCTCCTTTCTGATTGTAACCAAAATTTTCTTATATAATCTATATCAACACTTTCTTGTTTTGATCAAAAAAGAAAATGCACAGCTTACTAAAAAACAATAATCACCCCCGAAATTAATAAATTCTAATATATTGAATAATTTCAACCACAAATAGAGATTGTACCTAATGAGAGGCTATAAAACAAATGATTGTGCCAAAGTTTGAAAATTTCATTAATTTAATAAAAAAATTATGGAATGATACTAATAATTTTAAAAACTTTGGATCTGAAGTTTTGTGTTGATTTAATATCCCCTGATATTTAAAATATTACACATAAATCTCTTCAAGTTTGTACACATGTAATACTTAGACCATTATTGTCAATGTTCGTTAATAAATTATACTTAGGTAAAAAAAAATTAGATTTTTTTATTTATTTTATATCAATGACATAATAAAAAATGAATTTTGATTGTAAAATTTAAAATATTTGATTAAAATATTTTTTGTCTAACTATAACATTGAAAACTTGAGGAGTTTAAATATTATGCACATACAAATTTAAGGGAATTTGTGTGTAATTTACTAGACGGGGGTGTCAAGGTCTAAAATAACTTTAGTAAAATATATATTAAATTTAATCTTTATTCTAAATTTAATATAAATCACTAATCATAATTTGTGTTCTCTTACTAATCTGATATTCTATATATTGTTTTAATAAAATATATAAAAAAAATTTACATTCATCTATTAATTTCTCGAAAGTGGAATAATGTGCACCAATTGTGAGATTTTGTTTTGGTTTCTATATGTTTTTATGCCAGTTTTATCCTCCAAAAGAATTTATAAATACTCTTTATTTCATAAAAAATAATTATCACGTATCAAGTGCATGGTATGTGAAATTTCAACAAATGAAAAATAAAGTAAAGTTACTCAATTTAACAAATTTTTATCTTTTTTTTAATTCTAATCTTATTTTCTCATTAATTTTATTTAAAATCATAATTTCTATTAAATAATTTGTTTTTTTATGTCAAATTATAATGGGTTAATTATAAATTGCACTTTGAAAGATCGTTCAAATCTCAATTTGCACCCTTACAGATAAAAAATCTCAATTTATACCCTCAAAGATAGAAATTTATATTAATGTGCACCCCCAAAGATCAAAAATTTTAATTTGCACCCTCAAAGATAGAAATTTGTATCAACGTGCACCTAAAATTAAATTGATAAATTATACCTAGATCCTCTTATACTTGTCACTTAATCATTTAGACCCCTTCACATTTAGAATATTACTGTTACATCTCATGACGTTTGTGCCCGTGTAACACGTAACCCCTTTTTGTTGATATCTATTAATATAATCGTTAAAAAAATATGATTTTATCCTAATAAAAAATTATAATTTCATATTATTTTATGGGTCCAATATACTCTAAAATTCAAAATCAAGCTTACCATTTGAATGTCTAATAGAATAAAGGATTACACATTGAGTGATATATTGCATTGAATATAAAAAATATTATATAAATATCTACATTCTATTGGACATTCAAAGTTTGATTTTGAACTTTAGAATATATTAAACCCACCAAATAAAAGGTAATATGAACATATAATTTTTTATTAGGATAAAATCATATTTTTTAACGGTTATATTAACAGATATCAATGAAAAGGGGTTACGTGTTACACATGGATAAACGTTATAAGATGTAAGAGTAATATTCTAAATATGAAGGGGTCCAAATGATTAAGTGACAAATATGAGAGGATTTAGATATAATTTATCAATTTAGTTTTAGGTGCACGTTAATACAAATTTCTATCTTTAAATGTGTAAATTGAGATTTTTTATCTTTGGGGGTGTACATTAATACAAATTTTTATCTTTGAGGGTACAAATTGAGATTTTTAATCTTTGGAGATCTAAATTGATATTCGAACTATCTTTCATGGTGTAACTTGCAATTAACCCAATTATAATTATTGTGTCTTTTTTTTCATTTTTTCATTTTATTTATTTTTGATTATAATACTTTTGAAGACTTAATTAATCATTCGCCCTTTGTGTAGAGATGACAATGAATCGAGAAAAAGTGGAGATTCGTCGAAATCCATCCCATTTGGACCAACGATGGATAATCCTTATTAGACATTAAACGTATAAGTAAATATTCGTATAAACCGTGCGGGTATTGAGAAGTGATGGACTATATATATGGGTAAATTATATTTTGACCTCTTAGGATTTACCACTTGAACATATAAACCCCCTCACATTTTAAAATTTACAATAAGACCACCTATCAGTAGCAACCAGTAAACAATCCTAACAAAAGTTACAAAATATCTATTCGACCTTTTGATAAAAAAATAAAAAAAAAATCAATTTGATGGTGATTGGCACTACGGTGGTGGCAATGGATGTGTGATGTGTGCCTCTGCCTCTTCTTCTGTCTTTGCGTGGTCAGTTTCTATATATATATATATACACACACACATACTGAGAGAGACAGAGAGAGAGAGAAAGAGTGAATGTGTGAGTGAAAACCCATATATGTGATCACTTGATTTGGGATTTGGGATGTCAGGGGGTTTTATGAGTTTGCAAAGTCCGGTGTCGATTTTGGGGTTTAGAGCTTAGGTAGTGGAAGGTGGTCAATTTTCCAGACTCTCTCTATCTCCTTCAATGCTAATTCCTTCGTTAATTTTTGAATTCTTCCATTCTTGAATTAAATCAGAGTCACTTATTCCAATCATCAAAAACAAAGAATTCAAGAAAGGGTGGTGGTATATGTATGTCAGTGTGCAAATATGTATTTAGAGGGGGTTGGTAGCTGTATAAGCTGTTACTGGGTAAGGGGCAATAAGAAAGAGGATCGGGTGGTGGCTGGGTAAAGGGCGATGCGTAGAGGTTGGTGGCTAAAGTTTTTGACAGAGTTAGGGTTGGTTTCTTTTTTTTTTATGACAATTTTTCTAAATTGTTGAGTTATGTGGGATTTATTTGATTTAATATGGTTCTTGTAAGGGGTAATTTAGGAATTTTGATTTAAAAAATAATTGACAGCATTAAAATTGGACGACACTTTAACCAGATTCTAACATTAAGGGCCAATGTGTTATAACAAACCAAATCTCAAGGAAGGGCAATGTTATTTTCAATACCTTAGGGGGTCTGTTTGATTAAATGACAAACCTCAGGATTTCGAATGTAATTTACCCTATATATAAACATATCTATAGAACGAAGTTTGAATCCAAAAGACAAAAAGAGGTCTAAATCGTTTTGAGCTAAAACATTAACACATTCAACGGACAATATAATCTCGATATAAAAGACGGTTCAGATAATCTCAAAAATTATTATCCGACGGTCAACAATTAATACTATATTTTTCTTTTCCGTCCAACAACCTAAGTCACGTCTCTCTCTCTCTCTCACGGGTCTCTTTGTATCTCACGCCACTCTCTCTCTCATGCCTCTCTCTCACGCCTCTCTCTCTCTCTCTCCCACTCCCAAGAATCACGTTTCTCCTTCCCAAAACTACATCATATCCTATCTTTCTCCCTCTCTCACTAATGGCATTTAATCCTATCTTAAGAATTCAAAATATCACCTTTCCATACCGGTGATTCTCAAATCTTCTTGTATCTCCGAATTAAATCCCTAATGTTCTACAAATCTTCTGTCCCTCACTCGGTGTCAAATTGATTAATTCCAGCTGTTGCTCATACCATACAGTCTCTTTGCTAGAATTCTCCGCTATCTCAACTGGTTCTAGGTACACACTGAAACTCACTACTTCTCTTTTCCTCTTTCTCTACTTCTCTATCTCCCCAACTCTAGATGTTTGTAGTATTGTTTCAATGAGGTGGATTTGTCTATTTGTTTGATTCTTTACTAATTGCTCAACTCTTTAATTTTTATTTTTCTATCCATACTATGGTGGTAGTTATGGCGCTGGAGATGCTGTGGTGTTTCTCTGGTTGGCGGTGTTGTGGTAGAAGAAGAGAGTGGAGTTGGCCATGGTTGTGGGTTTGCCAGTTTGGTATGGAGTTACCTTTTCCTTTTTCTTTTTAACTTATATTTGGCTTAATGATGGTGGTTTTGCAGAATAGGTACTAAATATGAAAAGTTCAGTTTTGATTTTGGAACTTTACTTCCCATTAAGTACGAACAAATAGCAGAGTTGCTCAGCGCAAGGTATTTCTTCTTCGATAGCTTTGTTGCTTCACAATTTTTGGTACTTTTCTTTGATAGTATGTGGGTTTGATGCCTTTTGTTGATTTTCTAATTTTTGATCCATCTGTTGCAAAGTGAGCTTTGTTTTTGATGACTTATTCTTTGATTTCTTTCTATGGGTTTCTACTGGTTGTTAAGAAAAGGATGACAGAAAACATTATGGAACTTGAAAGCTTAGAGCTGATTTTTCATATACTTTTCGTTATAGTTGCTAAGCGTTATTCCATATACTCTTCGTTAGTAGATCTGATATTTCAGTTATTAAAGATAAATCAGTTTGTTTTGACAAAGTTCCTCAATTTTTTGAGGAAATTAAGTAAAAGCTCCCTGTCCCTCAAATTTCTATGTTTTCTTATAGATCCATGGCTTAAGTATGTAAAAGTAGATGGGCTTCCCTTTTACTAGCTTTCTTACATTTTCCTTTAACTCCATTCGACCACCCGAACCCCGTTTGCATTGCATGGTACTGGAAAACAAATTTGTTTAAAGCAAGTTTGTTTAGTCTATCCATGAATACCAACTGCCAAATGTTAGAAACGTAGTGCAGTCCTTACCTGGGGTACATATTCGCCACCACCTCCAAATTTTAATGTATGGTTGTTTGATATCCATTTATTTTTTTTTTGTTTTTTGTAGTGGGAAGCTGTTTCGAAAAATTTTTTGGTAACAAGTCCACCTTTTTTTTGATAAAAAGTTACAGGTGGTGAATCTACAAATACTTACCGATCCCCTCCAAGTTTAAAGGCTCTTACAAACCCAACATAATAATTTTTTCTTTGATTTTTCTTATTTTTTGGAGGAAATTTACATTATTGGTTTGTAGTTTTTGGTTTTTTTTTTCATGACGAATTTTGCATTTGTATGTTCATCAAACTAAGTTGTACTTCTCTGTATGTCTTTTTCATTTCAAACTTAATTTTTTTTGTTAGATGATTCTCATGTCTTTATCAAATGACATTACTCTTTGAACTGGGTTTGTGTGATCTGATAAGCTTGAAGGGCTAGCAAATAATGCTTCTCATACTCTTTTCCAAATTCTCTTCATCTACATGTCCGACAACTACTACTACAGGATCATAGACAGATTAAATCTTTGCGCTCTAAGTTTAAAGTCCTCAACTAGATGCTTTATGATGCCACATGCAGATATGCAAATCAGGTTTCCATATGGGATCAATCCAGATTTCTACTTCACTATGCTTCATGATCAAAATAACAAAAACAGTCCAGAATTCATGCTCATTCTAGTATGAGGGCTAAAGACACTCAAGATATTAAGAATAAAGCAAGCACCTGTTCTCTACCTCATGATCTACTTGGCTTTTTGTATTATTGGAGCAGGATCTTGACAAGTTTTGTGGGCTCTGTTTTCTCTGCTGCCTCTTCTAGAATTTCCTTAATCTCTGATTTGGCTTGGTTCTTCATGGCTTTTATAATTTATGGGGTGCTTTGCTCTCTGATGGTTGGCATTCTTTTCCAGTTCTCCTTAGTCTCTCTAGGGAGGTCTCTCTTATGCTGCATTCAAATGATCTTAGTTATTGAAAGAAGAGAAAACTCATTATCGAAGTTATTTTACAAGCAAAGAAATTTCAGAGAAACAAATAAGGTTACTTATCTTTTCATCTGTTTGGATCTCTCAGTTTTCATTAGTCTTCTCTATTCAAGATGGACAGGTTATGGAAGGAACCTGTTCTTCATTCTGGTATTTTGGGGTTGTTCTCTGCCTCTTCTTCATGGTGGTTTTTCTTTTATATACCTTCTTCATCTAAAGTGTCAAAGTTTTTGGAAGACTTTTCTCTGCTGCGTAGCTGGATATTCATCTTCTGCCTATTCTCTACAAGGAGTCGGGTTCTTCATCTTAGGTTTGGATCTGGCCTTCAATGATTGTCCATCTCTCATTTGGTTTACATGGCTTCTGTTTCTCTGCTGTTGTATTGTCTTCAATGGAGGGACATCAGAAAATTTACTGAAGTTTTTTGGAAGCCTGTTCTTCCAAGTTTTCATGGTTCAGAGTTTCATTGCAATAGAATTCTCGATTTGCCCTTTCAATTTCGTTATCAAGTGTCTTATCAGATGCATTATCAGACTCATAGCAGATCACTTTCGCCTATTAGCTGCCCCTTATCAGTCTGTGTTTTGCATTTAATCAAATTATTTTACCTTAGCTTATCACTAATCAGGTTATGATTGGATTCAGCTTAAAGTTCTCACCTGTTGCTACTCTAAGCTCACACTTTCAACTGCTACAGTTCTCAGTTTATTCACTCAGCTTCAGAGATTGCAAAGGCTCTTAAATGTTTGAGTAGATTCAGATCATCCTTTAGCTTGGTCTATCTCCCAGCTTCAGTTCGCAGCTCACATTTCCTGCTCTGTTATGTTCGGCTGCTTCATTATTCCAGCAAGTATTTTGATACACCAGCTGACACATTTAGGCTTTAGGTAAGATACATAAGTCTCCCCTGACTAGGTGTAATTTATTTTTGAATTAATAAAATCTCCCTCGCACTGTCGATGTTCCATTAAAAAAAAAAGTGCCAAAAGCGTAATGACTTCAACTAATCTTTAATGTTTGGCATGATATCATGGTTGTAGTTTTAGTTATTATAACTGTTAGATTGGATGATAATTAGATTTGTGAGAATGGATGAGTGAAAATTGAATTAGTAGTGTTTATGACACTCTAAGTGAGTTTGTTTGGATCGGAAGACTTTGTTTGGTATGGTTTGAGAATCAGTGTGGTTTGCAATGAATGAAATCATATAACTTTCATGTATGTGTGATGATTTTAATTATCATGATTTTCTTGGTCAATTAGTGAAATTTGTGTTTAGCCAATATAAATACTGATATGTTGTGATGGTAGTTGGTAATTACTATAATGTTGTTGTGGTAGTTGGTATGATTATGAAATTTTGTAGGTAGGTTGATATAGTTGTAATATCATATTTTTATATAATATTTTGTTGAAAATTTTAAAATTTTCTTCACTGATTTCAATTTTTTTTTAATGTGAAGCAAAAAAAAGCTTGGTATGTACTTTTGGCTCGATAAATGTCAAGTGTGCGTGAATTAAAGGAAGCAATTTTGACTTTTAATTTAGTTCGTATTCAAGTTCAGTGATCCATTATTGATTATTCTTTAATTACACCGTGCGTTATTTCTATTATATATATATACTCCAAGCCCTAAACGTCTCATTCATTCGGTACTCCACGACTGCCTTTGCCGACCGCCGACTGCCGACTGCCGACTGCCTTTGCCGACTGCCGCCCACTGCATCTCTCTCTCTCTCCCCATTCTTGCCCGATAATTTTCAGAGACAAAGGAAGAACTGAAACAAATCGATAGAATTTAAACGCCGCCAAGAAGACGCCGTCCGCCCCCGTCTTCTCTCTCTCTCTCGCTGATGCTGAGTCGCTGACCCAGGTAACTCCTAAGCGCTCTCTCTCTCTCTCTCTCTCTCTCTCTCTCTCAGTGCTCCAAGATATTTATTAATAAATTATTAAAGGAACTAAAACTAAACCATAGTTAAGATGGGCCAAACCACAAGTCTAAAGCGAAAACCTAACCATAGTTAAGTTGTTAGAGTTAGGGTTTCCAAGTGAAGTTAAACGCATTAGTTTCAATCAGGTTTCGTTGGCGGCAACACAGTACAACAGAAAAACGAGACAGAGACAGAGAGAGTCAACCGCTTTCGTCTTTTAGGGTTCTCATTGCAAAGAGAAAGGAGGGCAGACTCTCTCTCCTGTGTTCTCACAGATCGCCGCTCATTCGCTGTTTCCAGCTCTACCTTGCTTGTAAGCTCACTTATACACACACGCACGTATATATGTACTTAGAGAATTAAATTATTGGGTATGAGAAGGAATTGTTTTGTTTTGTTTTGTTTTTTCATACTTTATACAGATATATGGAACTTTGTTTGATTTGCTGGATCATATATTTGGAATGAAATTTCCATATGGGTAAATTGTTTTTTGCCAGATTGATTATCTCAATTTTCTTCAGTATGCTTGGAAGTTTTATTACTTTTATACTTATTCTAATACATGGCAACACTAATTAGAACCGGGGAATTCTAAAGTTTGAGTACACTGGCATGTTCATGTGGTTTTCCCAACTGTGTAGGTTTAAATTACAAAAAAACTACCTAGAGTTTGTGAGTACACTGGCATGTTCATGTGGTTTTCCCAACTGTGTAGGTTTAAATTACAAAAAACTACCTGGAGTTTGAGTAAACTGGCATGTTCATGTGGTTTTCCCAACTGTGTAGGTTTAAATTACAAAAAAACTACCTGGAGTTTGAGTACACTGGCATGTTCATGTGGGTTTCCCAACTGTGTAGGTTTAAATTACAAAAAAAACTTAGTTAGAGAGCCTTGCCGGGGATTGCATTATCATTAGCTATCTCGGAGATAATGGGAGTGCAATTAGCAGCAGAGCAGGCAGGGTTCGTTGAAATGGAGAATGTTATTTTCACAGATTCAGAGTTGGTGCATCATGTAAGGGACGCCCTCAGAGCTGCCCTCTTGGTAAGCATTCTGAAATGCACTCAAAGTTTTCTTCTTCAACATGGCTTTACTTTACCTATCAAGCAGAAAAAGAATATGTGGCCTTACTTTATCAATTATACCTTGATGAAGTGTGTTATACCAATTGCAGCAAACTTTTATCAGTTATCAGTATTTATATATAGCCAAGTGTCGGGGTTTCAAGAAAAAATGGGTGCTTCATGTTTTCTGTTCCGGATGACTTTGTTCATTTGTACAATCTAATGACCTATTGAGATTGATCATGTTAAGATCTGACATGATAAAATTGTTTTGGAGGTTAGGTTGCTAATTTTAATACAGGCATGATTTTGGTATGATAAGTCTGGGTGATATTTCTATGCCTCCTTTTTTATTTAGTTTATGTTGTAGAACTCTGGAAGCTTGAAGCTTTTGATGTTGGCTGTTATTTCCATCTATTTGACACTTATGTCGTTATCACCATTATTATTTCCCTTTGCAAATTGCTATGATTTTTATAAAGAGGACAGGCATGGATGACTTTTTATAATATTGGCCCTCTTCTATCATCTAATTGTTGGATGATGATGCATAGCTTCATGCCTATCAACTTGGCATAGCATCCAGAATTTATGGTGAGGTTTTGATCAATGATTTGATAATGAAATTATTACTTCCTCAGGGAGACACTGACAATTATAACCAGCTAGTTGGCGTGTTGCACCACAGTGAACGCCTAGCTCCCGATGAGGTGGCCCTTCTTGTGGTATGTTGTACATGAAGATAAACTAATATTTTGAGATAGTAGATGCTTTCCACAATTGCTTTTTAAATTGTTTCCCTTTTTTGTTTCTCCCATGCATTCCAGACTAGTTTAAAGGCTATAACTGGAGCAGTTTCATACGTTGATGTTGTGCACCATCACTCTCTTCTTTCTTGTGTAAGATATTGGTACACGTATTGATGGTTTGGTCACAATTTTTGTGTATCATTGTTGACCTTGATTATCATAAATTGCTAATATGAGAGTGGTTTCCAGATATGTGGAATGAGTTTGTGGAACTATGGGCCTGACGTGATGGATGCATTGGTTGAATTAATGACATCCTTGGTACGTGCGTGATATGCATTGCCTGCTAGGTTGTTTTGTTGAACTCTGGCAGGCCCTTATGATAATTTCATGGTTTCTTGCATTTGCAGGCTGCATCCAGTGGGAAATATGTTGATTTATGCTTGGATATGCTCGTAAGCAATTTTATGCCTCCTTATTCTTTCCTAGAATCGCTGAAGGAGCCTCGTGGTATTGCAAGAAAGGATCAAGTTCTTGATCGTGTGCATTTAGCACTGAAAGACATTGCTGATTTATTGCCTCTTATCCCTTGGAGATTGGAGAAAATAATCATTGATAGAATGCCAAATATATATACAAAAGAACCTGTGAGTCCAAATAACACCTCTCAACTTGGAATTTAAGCTTTCCTTGAATTATCCAAATATTTTTTGAGTAGATACATACATGAGATTCGTGGGGCATACTGTTTAATAAGTGAATATTTGCAAAGGCATGGAAGCAAAGTTTATTATTGTAAGTTCATTATCTTACCATTTTGATGGTTAGTATAGTACACCCAAAGTGGTTTGGGCTCTAGCAAGTGTTTCTTCAGTTAAATCAAAACATCCACTTATGCACTAGGCATGGCCTTTTAGCCTTTTTATGTGCACCTATTTTAGTTTTGTACTAGTTACAGTAATGGCACCTGCAAAATGTGGGTTAGGAACCCCAGGCAATGTTGTGGGCCTTTGCATCGATGCAGTAGTTTTTATCATTTCTTGTCCAGCAAATCATGAGTCGCTGTAACCTTGTTTTCTAATGCAGTTTAAATTTTTTATTATTAATCCATGCAGTTGATCGTGATATATGTGGAGAACATGTTAAGGTTGGAGAGTGGTCCCATGGGAGAACTTGTTGGGAGCATGATGATTACTGCAGTGATGGATAGGCTGATAGATTTGGATGTGAGTTGTTCAAAATTGATTAGAAAAACGCTGGTCAAATGAAAGTTTGCACTTATTTAACAAAATGTTGTGATCGTCTCATAACAGGTGGAAATACCATGGGAGGAAATTTTACAGGATGATTCCAATAAAGGCATCTTTGAGATGGAGCTTGAAGATTTGGAAGTCTCTGCATATTATGCTGAGAATGACGGTGATGAGGTATTCTAATGTATCTATTAAATTTGTTTGTTATGATTTCTTTCCTGTTCCATCAAAAATATTTTACTCGACATTGTTGACTAATACAAGTTATTCAAATGCATGTTTGTTTTGTTTTATATATACATTAAATGGTGACCTTTTATGGATCACTTTTGTTTGTTGTTGGGTCCAACTAAACTCCGGGTTATACACAAGCCAAATTGAGTCACATAATACACTAGTCAAAGTGGATAGCAATGTGACAATCCCACTATTAACATTGAGCATGGTTGTGGTACAAAGTGATCTTGAAGGAATTTGAGATCCAATTGTGATTTGGATCAAGTAGCTTTCTTAGTTTTTTTTTTTTGATTGAAGTAGCTTTTTTTTCCTTTTTTGGTTCTATAGTTAAGGTATCTGGACCAATTTATGCGTACCTCAACTAATCCCTTCTACGGTTCGGTCAAAGGTAGACGATCCACGCTGGAATTAGGGTATTCATGAGGAATAAATATCTTATGGCCTGGCTCCAAGGGATTGCCAAGATTCTAACTTTGCAACTCGTCTTTGTTATCACTTGAGCTACCATTCGATCTATTATTAAACGCTACTCAAAGTAACTCAGTTCCAAAATAGAAATGAGCTTGACTTATATATCTCACATTTCGATTTCAAGGGTTTTCCATTGGACCCTAACTCACTAAGCTTGGGATCTTCTTGGTTGACAAATGTGACATTCTTCTTTTTCTCTTGCTGTGACCAACCTGTCAATGATGGTCGGATGGGAACATTATTTATGCGAAACTGCAATGATAGTAAGCATGACACTGTGTAAGAGATAAAATTTCCTACAAAAACATCTAATGAAATGATTATTATAAAGTTATGTAATGGACAGTTGAAAAGATGATAAATGGTTTTTGATTTATTCACAAAAAATAAATTCCAAAATACTACTAACAAATATATAGAACAATTGCAAGACATTAAAGTAATATCTATTAAATTGCATAATTTTTTGAGGTACTATAAACGTAAAATTGCCAATTGTAAAAACTATAATAAGAAAAATTTGAAGACCTTAAAACAGAAATGCTCATTGATCAATCTCATTGGTATATTTCGATAAATATAATAGTACTACCTGACGAGTGCTCTCCAAAAGAACTGTTGGAGATAAGATCTAACTAGTTATTAGCTCAATTAAATTAAATATGAATGATGAAAATGATATTTGAGTACAAACTATTATAGTATAGATATAGATGTACGATTTTGACTTTATACAATTGTTTGGGGTTATTTATGGTAATCAAAAATTTTCATCTAAGTTACTTTTATTAGTAGTATATGTTAAAGTTTGAAGAAGTCTAAGTTGAAAGCAAAACTGGGCAGTGGCAACAACCGGTGGTGCTTTGGAAAAGATACACTCGGCATAGCGCATGAAATACATTCGTCCTCTAATTGACACTATTATACTCCAGTTGTGTTCCTTGTAGTAATAAAAAGGAGAAAAGGTGGGAAGAAAAAAGGTAGTGAAAGAAGTAATACTTGTAGAATCCAAATCAAATTTCAACCGCTACGAAGCCAATATAGGGAATCTGAAAGTATAGTAAGTGAAATATCATTCTCTTTAGCTTAACGTTTACTTCTAGAATTTGTAGGGTCTAACTAGTTATTAGACGTCAATTCAATTAAATATGAAGGATGAAAATAATATTTGAGTACAAAGTATTATAGTATAGATATAGATGTACGATTTTGACTTTATACAATTGTTTGGGGATATTTATGGTAATAAAAAGTTTTTCATTTAAGTTACTTTTATTTAGTAGGATAGATTATCCAAAAGTCTGAGCAATTTTAAGTTGAAAGCAAAATTGGATAGTGGAAATGACTGGCGGTGCTTTGGAAAAGACACATTCAGCACAGTGGATGTAATACATTCGTCCTTTGATCGACACTATTATACTGCAGTTGTGTTCTTTATAGTGAGAAAAAAGGGAAAAGGTGGAAAGAAAAAAGGTAGTGAAAGAAGTAGTACTTGTAGAGTCCAAATCAAATTTCAACCACTACGAGGGAATCTGAAAGTATGGTAAGTGAAGCAACATTCACTTTAGCTTAACGTTTACTTCTAGAATTTGTAGGGTCCAACCAATTATTTGTGTAAAAACTATTATAGTATAGATATAGATGTACAATTTTGACTTTATACAATTGTGTTTGGGGGAGTATTTATGATAATCAAAAGTCTTTCATCCAAGTTACTTTTATTAATAGTATAGAATCATAGATTATCCAACGAATTCTAAGTTGAAAACAAAATTGGGCAGTTGCAACAATCGGCGGTGCTTTTGAAGAGACACATTCGCCATAGCGCATGGAATACATTCGTCCTCTGATCGACGCCATTATACTCTAGTTGTGTTCCTTCCAGTGATAAAAAAGGGAAAAGGTGGGAAGAAAAAAGTTAATAAAAGTAGTAGTACTTGTAGAGTCCAAATCAAATTTCAACCACTACGAAGCCAATAAAGGGAATCTAAAAGTATGGTAATTGAAGCAGACATTCACTTTAGCATAACGTTTGCTACTAGAATTTGTTTGCTTTCACTTTAGCTTAGCCGTCAATTCAATTAAATATGGATGAAAATAATATTTGAGTATTATAGTATAGATATAGATGCACAATTTTGACTTTATACAATTGTTTGGGGGTATTTATAGTAATCAAAAGTTTTTTATTTAAGGGACTTCTATTAGTAGTATAGAATCAAAAAATTTTCAACTAAGGGACTTTTATTAGTAATATAGATAGATAGATTATTATGAACAAAAGTACCTTAACATGAAAAACTTTTAATTGACCATCTTATCATTAAACAAAATAGGCCTTATGTTCTTTTACCTTTCTATATTCGATCACTATTTTGTCCTTACAAAAAGTTACAAGGCCATTATGTTCTTTTATATTAGAATGTTAAGATTAATATTGTCATGTCCTCTTGTATTTTACTATTCAAATTACACCCTTAACATAGTCCTTAATTTTTATAATTTATATGTTATCCCACTTGTTTTTGTTTAATAACTCAAAAAGAACTGTATAGCCATCTATACTATCACTCAAAAACACTATTACTATTTAAAAACTTAAAAGGGATAAATATTTTCATTTATTTATGTTTTAAGTTTATACCTATATGTGCAAACAACTTCTAAATCTATATGTTCATAATTTATATAATGAACATAAGGCAAGTAACAAACAAATGATAAATAAAGACTTCTAAATCTCAATGCCTCACTATATTATGCCACTCTTAAAATATATGTAACTTTATAAATTTAGCATTGATATATTAAGTTGTGCTTAAGTAAGATATTAACACAATACTGACCTTCTAAATTTAAACTTTTACTTTTGTTTTAAAACAAAAATAAACTATTTTTCTTTCTGGAGAATATATTTTTTTCTTATTACTATATTTCCCTAGAGGTATTGATGGTAGAAATTTAGATATAGAAAATATAAGATGTTATTTACTTAATTACAAGCCTACTTTGTATGTTTTATATACTTTATGAAATTTTTTGTTACATAATTTTTTTTTCACGTGGTGCGTTTCTAGTACACTAAAAATAGCTATTCTCAAGCCAAAGCTTAAGTACATTGGTTCTTGTAGTCCAAGCTATAACGGGTCTCAAAACTTTTTGAAGTGAGGTAAGACTAAGAGTTATTTAGGCTATTTTTTTCTTTACGTAGAAAGTTTAAAATAAGTTACAGGCTTTCAATGTTTTTGCTTTTACTGAATCTTATGTAAATCTGACTTTGAAGATACAAGTTGATATAGGGTAGAGAACATTTTTATTTTCTATGGATTTCGTCTATTTGTGTTCTTTAGTAAATCTTATCAATCTAAGAGGGATAGAGGAAGGGGGGGAGGGAGGTTGAGACCTAATTGTTATTTTCTCCGCTTGTACATACACATACGTCACCTTCAGAAATTTCAGTTTGCTGCTTCATGCCATCTGATAGAAGTATACCACGTGGTCATTGAGTGCAGCATAATTCAGAACTACCCTTTTGTGAACCACCTGGTCTATGTGACAAATGGGCGCTAAATGTCCTCATGTTGTCAGTTTAGTGATTGTGTACCATCAGGAAAAACTGATCCCTGAGGTTAGAAATTAAGGCTGCTACAATCAAATAATGATGGTGGGTAGGGCTTTGGTTTATGGGTTTTTTGTTGAAATGCTTACATTGAGGTGGTGGGAAGAGTCAAATTGTTGTGGTTAGACCAGCTGAGGGTACCTGCGGGCGTAAATCAATGGGAATCTTTCTGGAAATTTGGACACAAAAGAAAACAAAGATTTTTAGTTAGATTATGGTGGGTAAATTAAGCCTAGGGTCTTTAGATAGATATTTTTTTTGGGTAATAGAAGTTGGATGCTTGAAGGGCTGGATGTGCCTCTTTAGTATTTCAGCGTAGTGGTAACTAAATTAAGGAAATATATGATGAATTTTATAATTTTACGGAGCCCTTTTGAGTCTCATCTAGAAGAAATTAACGGAGTCTTACCTTTGAAGGAGACATGTTGAAAGAAATTTTTTATTAATCAGACTTGTTTGAATTTGTGCCTGCTTGTATTGTTGGGTAACTATTGTGGAGCTATGAACTTGTTTTGAGGCTTATATGAGACAAATGTTTTCGTGTTGAAATGAAGATTTAAATAAATTCAAGCAAGGAAATCACTGGACAAACCCAATATTTTAATACCTGACAGCTGAATATCAAGTGAAACTATGATACTCATGGGAATCTGATTTTTCAGACCAAAAAGACTAAACTAAGTGGGTCATTCTGACCCCTCCTTAAGTTGCTCCTCTAGCACATGTGATCTATGGCTGGTCCCATCAGCTGAAAGTGAGCCCACATGATTCCTCCATGGTTTTTTGAATTTTAAAGAAGCCCCTTGACAGACAGGCATATAGAACAGTTTCAGCCCTTCTCTTGGCACCATCAAGAGTTCGTCCTGATGACTGTGTGTATTTCCCTACTCAATATGGAGGAAGGTGAGGATGAGGTCAAGTCATCATTCCCCTTGCACCCGGGCGATACGTGCTACAATCGCCGGGACAAAGGATCGCAATCCCACTTCAAAAGTATTTACGCTCAAAGACCAAGTACAAATAACTGAGATTACTTCCAAAAAATGGATCAAATAAGGTGAACATCCTTCCGTCTGTCCAGTCTTGTATTTTCCTGTGGAGGTTGACGTTGTCCTTAAGTTATACAGAAATTAATGTGGAACTGCAAGTAGGACCATGCCCATACATAAAATCCCGGTGAATTGTGTTTTTTTAAAAGTATAATTTGTTTGTGATATGTGATCTTCCAAATTAAACATGATTGTTTGGTGGTATGCTAATGAGATTCATGTTTTCAGCTTCCAAGGGAATTTTTGAGGCAAAGGCTATTTGGGGGAAACTTAGTTGCTGAAAAATTAGATAGCTTGCTGGTGCTCACACTGGAACACCTTAAATCCTGTAATGATGGTGGCCGTTTGATTCAAGTAAGTTCTCTGGTTGTCTTTTCCTCAAAAGGTTTTGCTATCCTGGTTCTTGAAATTAATATGTATTCAATTGCCATGGCATAGGTATTCGAATGTCTCCTCCAGTCATTTGACAAAACTGTTTTGACTGCTTACAAATCAAAATTTACCCAGGTAATTTCCTTGCAAAATATCTAGATGACAAATATCCCGTACCAACACAAATTACCCTTTTTGATTCAATTGCTTTGATTTCTCTTTTTCTTTTTCCATCATATGCATTAAACATCGTCGTACAGTTATTGAATCGATTCTCATAATGATGCACCAATTCACCATCTCATCATCTAATATATGTTGCTTATCTTTTGCAGTTTGTAGTGTTCTATGTCTGTTCACTAGATCCTGAAAATTGTGGAAAGAAGTTTGCGAGTATGCTTGCAAATATTTTTATGAATGATGTCTATGCCGAAAGAAGGTAAAGATGTAGGCAACAAACAATTTTTAAACCTATAGCAGCTTTTGTGGAACAGTAATTACACTATGAATTAAAAGGGATATGAGTTTAATGTCTTTTAGGTCACTTATATGGTTGCTTTGAATCAAACGGTAATGAATCTGATGATAAGCGCTTGTAAATCTTGTTTATACTTTATATAGTGTACAGTTTGTACATTTTTACGTAAAAACATCCATGTTCAACATGTACCATATGGCACCGACATGGGCATTTGAAGTAGAGATGTATTTTTATTTTCATATGTCATGTTGTGTTACGGGTTATGCATACTTACTTTCAATTTTGACTCCTCCTCCCACCTTCTTTTTCTATTCTCTATTTCCCAAAAAAAAAAATATCTGCACCCACAAAACCCTCATATGTGTATAGAGCTGTGGATGATGTCTACCACTGATGGTCGGAAATGTTTTTGTTCGATTGAAAACTAGGCAGGTGGAGTCTTTAAGCTAGTAGTGGATGGGGCTCGGCAATGTGTTCCTTCCTTTTTCTTTATAAAATAATCAGCACTGTTCCAACCCAGTAACACTCAATTGCTTCTGCAAATGAGTTGCCAAGTAGAATTGGTGTTCTGAACTCCAAAAGTTTCATTATTTTGTTTGTAAAGCTCACTTGTGTAGGACCATTACCACGTTACTAATTTATGTACTGGCCTTTTGCAGGATGAGTGCTGTTGCTTATCTTGCTAGTTATTTGTCTCGTGCAAAGTTTCTACCCCCGTCATATGTTGCTACCATGTTGGAAAGGTTGCTAAGCAGTTCCTTATCTGCTTATTATATCTTGCATATGTATCTTTAATAAATTACCCAGGCTTGTAAAAAAAAGGCAAAAGAAGAATTTAAGAATGAAGTGAGAATTTCTGATTCCATGTCATCTGTGTATGTGATGTTTCAGTCTGGTAGATTGGTGTTCAGATTATTGCAAAAGCCAGGATGGTGACGTTAATCCAAAAGCACATAGAGTGTTTTATTCCGGATGTCAGGTATGTGATGATTTGACACCACCTCTGATTATTCCCAGAGCTTAAGAGCCAGGTTAAACTTGTCAGCTGGATAGTTATAGAAAGCATTCAATCTGAGAATTGAGATCAGTAAAAAATAAATTATGTTTAGTATCCATGATAAGAAAGAGGTAGCGACAGTCCTTCAGTAATATTCCTTTTATAACTTCTTATTTGTCATGAGAAAAGACAGTTCAATAGTTTCCAGGTAATCGAGGAAAGATTAATTCATTCTTTTTTGCATTCTCCTGATTCAAAATTTTTTAGTCTCTGGTACTGATCAAATTGTATTGGGTAGTTTAGAATTCTTATACATGTGGATAATCTTTTGATTTCTTCGGTGGTCATTCTACCCTAGACGTGCTGGTTGATTAGGAAAGATGGAATTAATGTTCAATAGGATGAGGCATAAAGCGCATCAAGTATTTAACCACCTCACTATATAGGTTGTAATGCAACTTTCACGCTGTTGAAAAATAATACACTTCATTGTTGTCAGATTGCACATCGTATTATTAAAAAAGATTAAGAATAATAGGTGAATTTTGCACAAATATATCAAATAAAGTCCTCTGATGTTTTGTTTATTTGTAAAAAGAAATCGCAAGTTAAAAATTCAGCTGTTTGTGTGACTGAATGAGATAAAATTTGAACCTCAAAAAAATATTCTCAGTGAATTATAACATCTCATGACATCATTTTGATTTCGAGTTCTACCTCATTCATGTATTTGCAGTTCTTACAATTTCACCAAATGAGTCATGAAGACTGATCCTATGCAATATTTCTTATACAAGTTACTGATGAATATAGAATCCTATGTCCTGGCCAATCAACTGATTAGAAAAATATGTTGTACCAGCAATGTAGAGAGAATAAATAAATGGGATTGTAGTAGAAATGTGAAATATAACTCTACCAAAAATATAAATAAATGAGTGAATGCTACAGAGCATCTTCTCAAATTCAAAAGAGAAATATGAGCAATCATCTTGTTTAATCTTAATTTATTTTGAGACAAAATTGTTATCTTGGAAAGTTGAATTTGTTAAAAAATCATTTTTCTTACAAAAATGTAAAATGGCTTTGAAGGGTGCATGTATTGTTTGTAGCAGATATTATGTGTATTGCACATGTATTATAGCGAGGTGAAGCTACATACACCCCAAATAGCTTTGAGCCTCTTGTGCCCCCCTCTTCTTACCAAAAGAAAGAAACTATTAAATGCTTGTCAACTTTGCTCTCCCAAGTTTGTGAATCTTGGCTTCGCACTTGCATTGTAAAATAGGATGGGAAATGTACTTGTATTTTTCGAATGTGTTGACAAAACATAAGAGACTTGACTATTCAAACTTTATTGGTTGCATAAGGTGCCCCTTACAATACAGCTGTTGCTTGTGATTGCATTAATGTTTTTGCTCATCTTCTGATGTCTACTGTTCCATTATGAAAGATGCATGCAAATAAGGAGACCTTTATATAGGGCTGTTAATCAAACCCGATAACTTGGGCTAGGCTCATTTTTCACTCGCTCATATTATAAAATGAGCAGAATTTAAACAAATTTTTAGGATTTTTTTATCTAAGCTTGACGTATTGGCAAGCTGACTCATTTTTCTACCTATACTAAACGAACTTGTAAATTACTAGTAATCTCTACATTTCAAAATTGAAACCATCATCACCAACATGGGCATGTTTGCCAAGTGCCAACCTTCTTTTCCCCTCGCTATCATGTGGGCCTTGCTAGAGTATATTTAGATATCTAGTGTTTTGGGGTAGTTTAGTCACTTATTTTATTTTGTATTGACCTACTATTTATAAGAGTTTTATTCTGTATTCTGTATTCTGTGAGGATTATAATGGGCTTGGAAGATAAGTTACTTTTTGGGAACGTGTGATTTTTCCTACTATTTTGGGTGATCAGTTTGGAAAGAAATGCAAGAATCTTTAAGACAAATATGAGGTAGTTGATGGTTTATGGAATTGTATCTATTTTTAGCAACTTTTTGGGCATCAGTTTCGAAGGAGTATGCAAATATCCCGTCCTTTGGCATTTTGGCAAGCTGAAATGCAGTGTGAATGATTGTTTTTTGCTTTTGTCTTTTTCAGTTATGTCGTGTAAGCATTTTGTTGGTTTTGGCTGATGTATGGACTACTTGCCCATACTTTCTTATAAAAAAATAATTAATTAAGTTCTAATACAAACCAAGTGTGTTATTATTCATTCTTTCTCTATTTTGCTTCTCTTTTCTTCGCTTTTTAATCTAAGTTAATATGGTATTAGAACGCGATCTAAACACCATTACCAACTTATCAAATTAATCTGGAGCAAAGACAGAAGTTGAAATGGGGCGGAGTTTATCATTTGTATTGATGTCGTCACCATGACGTTAGCAACCGGAGGCCGCAACAGATTGACTCCTCATGGGCTTCAATTCCTATGGACAAGTTCTCTTCTAATTCGATTGAAGGCTTGCTATTGGTTTTCTTCTAGTTCTAAAAGGTTCTTTGTCTGCACATTTGGTTCTCTTTTGTCTTTTCTCGTTTGTCTAGTCTTTCTTGGTTCTAACAAGTTGGGGCTGAGACTTTTTAATTGGTTTGTGGGCTTTGTGAGCTTTGGGCCAGTTGTGCATTCTTTTGTTTATTAGGCTTTATCTTTATTGACCTTGGGTATTTGCACAGTTAAAGTGAGTCTTTCTCTGTTTGAAATTTTGGCAAGTGGAAACTCTATTTTCCCGTAGGCTATTAGTGTGAATTGAATTGGTGATAATTATACGTATTGGGCATACGTTATGAAAAAAATTTTGTTGGGTAAAGCATGTAGAGTTATGTTAATGGTGTTGTGATGGCTCCAATAGATATTAAGGCTGAAAAGTATACAAATTCGTAGAGCAGTTGGGACATCAACAATGCTAAAATCATTATCAGGACTAACAACTTAGTTGATTGAACCATTGATGTTTGATCTGGCCAAGTTTACCAAAACCAAGGAAATTTGGGATTACTTAGCTACTTTATTTGCTCAGTCTAATTTTGCAAAGAGGTATCAACTACAGCTTGAAATTCGAGCTTCTTGTCAAGGTGATAGGAACATTCATGAATTTTACTCAGTTACGACTAACCCACTGAACATAGTAGTAATAAGGTCAACCACACCTTTGGAGTGGGGCAAATGTGGTTCAATTTTTGATAGTACTCAGCGATGACTTCAAGGGATTTCGTGATTCAATTCTTCATCTTCATCCATTTCTCTCAGCTGATGCAACCGTTAAATGAGCTTTTGCTTGAAGAGGTGCATCTTAAGACCTTATCTAGAAAAGGTCTTCTTCTATTGCCCTACCCAATTAGACCGTATTGGTTGTTCCTTCTAAGGTGACTTCCAATTCCTATAAGGGTTGAACTGCTCACATTAGTGTAGCTTTTGTTGTGAGAAGGGCCAGAAGTCACAATGCCCTAAATTGGTGAATAAAAATGTACGAGGATTACTAAATCAATCATTTAAGCTCAAAGATTGTCATACAATAGTAGCATCACCACCCGTGGATAGGTCACTCTAATCAACTCCTAGCCTAACTATGATTGTTGATCAATTATAGAAGTTTTTCTCCCTCCATCAGCCTAGTGCCCTCTCAGTCTCTCCCTTAGTTCACTTTAGGTCCTTTAGGTATATCTTGAATCGCCAAGGCCATTGACTTAGGTGCTACACATCATATAACTAGTGATTCTTCATTCTTTGCATTTATTGTTTCTCTTCCATCTATATTTGAACTTGCCATCAATGGCACTAACGTGTCGTTGGCTTGTGTGGGGACGGTTTTTTTCTCTCTAGCTCACATTTTCAGATGTTTACTATATTCTCCGATTCCTTTGAACTTACTTTCTATTAGTAAGCTATTTGATTGTGGTTTTTCTGTGCATTTCTCTTCCTTTGGTTTTGTTGTGCAGGATCTACGGTCCAATGGACTGGCCAAAAAAAAGGATGGTTGTATGTGTTGGATGAGCTCTACTTGTTGCCTCTACCATTGATTTATTTTCTTTTCATTTGAGTCAAAGCTTTGGTCATGTTTCTCATTCTCGTTTAAAATTTTTAGTTTCTACCGCTAGTTTGGGTAGTTTAGACTATCATGACATTTTTTTATTGTAGGGGATTCAAGTTGGCTAAATTTATTACATTACCTTTCATTAAAAATATTACTAGCTCTCTTGATCATTTTGATATTTAGGGACCTGCTCTTATCCTTATGTAAGGAGGGTGCAGATATTATGTCTCTTTTATAATGATTACACTAGGTATTGTTGAGTATATTTGAGGTAATGTCATTTCAACTTGTCCTTATTTAATTCATTATGTATTATGATATGCACTCAACATTCCTCTGTTTTTTAAAGGTTTTTGTTGTGATAAAAAAGGAGAATATTCTTTTTCTTTCTTTCGTAATTTGTTGAAATATGAGGATACTGTTTATCAATCCTCTTGTACTCACAATCTTGAGTAGAGTGGTGTTCCCGAGCGCAAACATTGTCACATTATGGAGACAATTTGCTTTCTCTTTATGTTGGCAAATGTTCTTAGGTCCTTCTGGGGGCAAGCAACTCTTATAGCAATTCATTTGATTAATTATATTTCAACTATTCTCAATTTTGGTGTCTCTCTATTTGAAAAACTGTGTGATAAGTCTTCTAATTATTTTTCCTTACGTGTCTTTGATTGTACTTTATTTTTTAGGCTTTCTAATGTTCTTTGTACCAAACTTTCTATTCATTTAGTCTTGTGTATTTTCTGGGTTACGATGAGGATCAAAAAAGATATCATTGCTATGATCTTATTAATCATAAAGTCTCTTGCTCTCGCCGTGTTGTTTAATGGAACACATTCCTTTCTTTCTTTTTTATTCTATCTAATTCTTTCTCTCTACATAAATCAGATTTGATATGTATTAATCCTTTTTCGGTTGATGTTCCTTGTGATACATATGTTGGTGATATAACTGTGTCTGATGTACTTTCCTTTTATCTTTTTCCTTTGATTTGTCTATTTCACGTCTTCCTATTGTGCACATTTATGCTCGCAAGAGTTTCGCTATCCTTTACAGTGCCTTCACCTTACTCTCATGTCCCTTTGTCAGGTTCTGACATCGTGGATCATGCTCCCTGCTAACCTAAGCGTTCTCAAAAATATCCAGATGAGTTATGTTTCTTTAACTCATGTTGGCAATAGGCTATGGATGAGGAGCTTTTCTACCTTATGTAAGATCCAAGTTTGGGAGTTAGTGCCTCTACCTTTGGCAAATGCACCATTGATTGTAAGTGGATTTATAAAATTAAAGCCAAATCAGATGGTTTTATGGAAAGGTGGAAGACTCAATTAATGGCCAAGGGATTTGCTCAAGAATATGATAGCTTTTGCTCATGTTGCAAAGATGACCACTGTTCATACCGTGATTGTCGTGGTTACTATTCGTCAATTGAGTTTTGTCACAAATGGATGTGAAAAATGCTTTTCTTTGTGGACTCCTCTTGGATTCTCTCAGTCTCGGACTAGTATGCAAACTTCACAAGGCTTTATATGACTTTAAATAGGCTTTGAGGCCATGGTTTGCTAAGTTTTCCTCAAACATATGTGACTTGGTTTTTTAAGCTAGTGATGATGATTTTACTCTCTTTCTGTGGTCTACGTCTTCAGACTATGTTGTTCTCTTATTTTATATTGATGATATGATACTTACATGTGATGACACTGGTCGTATAGTGCTATTGGAAAATTAGTTGCAGGAACACTTTGAGATGAAAGAATTGGGTGACCTTTGATATTTGTTGGGGATCAAGGTTGCTTCCTCTCCAAAAGGTTATCTTTCTTTATAGTCCAAGTATGCAACTGATGTTATTCAATGAGCCTGCCTGTTAGATAATCGAATAGTTAAGACACTCGTGGGCCTCAATGTTCGTTACTTTCCTCTGATGGTGCTCTCTTGCCTGATCATACCCTATATCGCACTATTGTTGGTAGTCTGGCCACCAGAGTTTATTATTTTCTTCCTCCTCCTCTATGGAACTCGGGGCTTATTCAGATGTTGATTAAGCTGGTGACTCTATGGATCAAAAGTCTATCATTGGTTTTTATCTCTTCTTTGATGATACTCTTATTTCCTAGAAAAGAAAGAAGCAAACAATAATTGCTTGTTCCTCCGCTAAAGCTTAGTATCGTGGTATGACATATAATACAATTGTGATAATTTGTTTAAGTTGTTTGCTTGCTAATCTTGACATCTCCTTATATGCTCTTACACTTTCGTATTGTGGCAACACTAGTAGTATTCAAATTGCTTACAACTCAGTGTTTCATGAGCGTCCAAACTCTAAAACATATTAAGATTGATTGTCACGTTGTGGGCCATCTTCGTCTGAGCACTATCTCTCTTCATTTTCTTCCTTCAACTATGCAGGTGGTGTATTTTTTATATAGTCTTGTACAATAGTGCGCTCTCGTTTTTTGCTCGACAAACTTTTGATGTTCCATACTCTCACATCACGAGTTCAAGGAGGAAGGGGGGTTGTTAGAGTTTATGTGGATATTTTATTTTAGGGGTAGCTTAGTCACTTACTTTATTTTGTATTCCCCTACTATATTTATGTCATTTATTGTGTATTCTAATTAATTAAGTTGCAACACAAACTAAGAGTTATTATTTCATTCTCTCTCTCTCTATTTTGCTTATCTTTTCTTCTCTTTTTAATCGAAGTTAACAGGCCATACATATTCTCTCTCTCTCTCTCTCTCACACACACACACACACAACACACACACACACATAGTTGCCCTTCCTTTCTTTCGACCTTTTCATTATTTTGCATCCATGGAGAAGAATCCTTCCATTATTTTGCATCAATGGAGTCGATTCTCGGTCTTATTACCCACCAGCATCCTTTTTTCCCAATCGAAACCCTAGGATTAACTAATACTAGAAAATAAACATACATGGCTATGATATATTCTATTTACATGACTTGTTGTGATTTTGTAGTTTTTCATGTTAAGATTGTGTTTTAGATTTGGATTTTTGGGAGTTTTATGTGAAAATTTTGGATTGGGCATTTGAAGATGATAGATTTATATATATATATATATATATTTTTGTGAGTGACTCATTTTTTGAATTGGGCATTTGAACACGATAGATTTGGGCAATGGGTTTAGTTTAAGCTAGGCTCGAGTCGACCTTAAACATCCTTTGAAGAGTTCGAGTCGTGCCTAAGCACAGCCAAGCTTGAGAGGCTTGACTCGATTATCACCCTTAACTTTATATATATATTTTGATAGGAAACAAAACAACTTTATTGAGTTTAAATGATAAAAAATGGTACATCAAAAAGCACTATGGATGGATAAGACTTCTAATCATACAGTGGAAAAATACAAACTTCAACTAATCAAATTATGTATCATATAAGGCCTTACAATTAGCTAAAAGACAAAGTGGAATACAATCAAACTCCTTTGTAATGGAAGCACCACACAACGATGACAAAAAATAAATGCGGTTCCATAAACCTTCCTTCCATTTTCCTTTGTTCTAAAAAATTCTAGAGTTCATTTCCAACTATATTACTCATATGATGGCAAGAAAAGCACAATACCAAAGGGTTATTGCTTTATTATGTCATCCTAACCTCTCAAAATCGTCCATCATCATTGTTCACAATGGCCTAGGAATCACTTATCACAGAGGGAGAAAACACTGAGTGTGTAGAATTATTAATTAATTTGTCAAAGAATGACTTAAACGAAAACTTCGAAGACTCAAGACACCATTTTTTTTTATCACTTCTGACATAACCTAACCTCATTAATCAAAGATAGTAATAACATTAATTTCGTAAAATCTCTATCATTAAGATTTCTACGATATTTAAAATTCCAAGAAATTGATTAATTAGAATAATGACACATTGAAACAATAAAACACCCATGAGAACGAGATAAATGATAAAGACGGGAAACCGTACATGAAAAAGATAAGGATCCCACCCAAATATCCTCTGAAAAATAAATTCTCTCCCCATTGCCCACCATGAATGTAATATATTGAGAGAACCTCAAAAATCCCTGAGAAATAAACTTCCGTGGGCATCGATAAAGTTCCCAGTCAACCCTTTTAGCATCTCATATATTGGCATGTAATCTATATTTGCTCTTAATAATCGAATACCATAGAGAATTTTGCTCCAAGGAAAATCTCCATAGTCATTTACCAACTAAGACTACATTTCTTGCCTTCAAATTTTCCACTACAAGGTTGCCTTTAACTTTTGTTATTGGGACAACCTTCCAACTTACTAAATGATCATTTTTTCCCTCACCACTTCCTTCCCACAAAAAATCTCTTACTATTTTCTCAATTCTCATTACAATCTTTCTTGTCATTTTAAAGAGAGTGAAAACAATATTTAGGAATACTAGCCAAAACCGATTGTACCAATGTTAATTTACCCCTCTAGAATACCAGCTTTCTTTCACCCATCTAATCATTTTCCTACCCTCTCCACAATAGGGTTCCAAAATGCTAAAGATAAAAGATTCCCCTCCAAAGGAAGACCCAAGTGTTTAAAGGCCACTCCCCCACTTCACACCCTTAGCATTTGTGCCAATCTATCAATTTTATCCGGTGAAGAATTAATGGCCACAATCAAACTTTTCTCCCATATTTACCTTTAATCTAAACACCATTCCAAATATCTCCACAATCTTTTTTAAATTGTTAACTTTTTCTTCATCTCTCCCTAAAAAAAGATAGTATCATCCGCAAATAGTAGATGTGATACATTAATTTCATCCCTCCCAATAATGAAACCCTCCACGAGATCGAATGTTTCTGCTCTCCTTACTAACCTACTCAATCCATCAGCCACTAAAGTAAAAAGGGGATAAAGATTATTTTGTCTCAAACCTCTAGTTGCTTTCAATCTCCCCCTAGGCCGCCCGTTAATCATAACGGAAAAATTCATTGATTGCAAGCATCCATTAATCCACCTTCTTCATCACCTACCAAATCCCTTCATCTCCAACACATGATTCAAGAAACTCCAATCCACATGATCATATTCTTTTTCAAAGTCAATTTTGAAGACAATACCCTCTTGGCCCTGCACCCTTACCTTTATGTATAGGTGTGTGTGCACACTCATACACAAACATATAAGAAGTCGTGGAGGAGTTGTCATTTGTGGCATTGTCTTTTAATTTTTTACTTCATTTCGAAGCAGTATAGGGTATATTCTTCTAGCAATATCTATTTGCTTCTTTCTGCTGAATTTAAGGTAGACATGCATTCCCTTCAAAGGGAAAGAATTGTGATGCTCTTTGGTCAGATGACCAAGATATTGACAAATACCACATATGACGTGATTGTATTGTGATTACCTTACTCCTTTGCTCAGTTGATTCTGTTATATTAATTTCTGAAACAGTTACATATTTTGTCTGCTGATGTCATTTTGCTTCAGTGCAGGCCATCATGTATGTGCTTTGCTTCCGTATGAGATCCATGGTGATTGTTCCTCGTCTGAAATCACAACTTCTTCTCATGGGTATTGAGGAAATCTTGCGGCATCCATTGAATGCATTAAGGGTAAGGTGAAACATTGGCCTTCGTCAGGCAAAAGTTTAAGATTGTATAATGGAAAAACCTGCATTTTAGTAATTAATAACATGTATCTTGTTTGCATAATCTCCTAATTATAGACTTTAAGCTTATTCATTATTTAGTGTATATGTTCAAGACTTTGCAATTCCAAGTCTCTTATGCCAGGTTGCTCTATTCAATGTATATTTAAACAGATAAGTTGGCCTAATCTTCCATCAGTTGTCTCCTGCAACAGGTGTGCCTTCCATCCATAGTAGAGGAATTTCTTGGGCAGGCCAAAGCAGCTCGGCTTTTTTCTTTTTCTGAGACCTTTGTTCTTGATGGTTTGCTGGAATCAGAACTTTCCAGGGCTTTTGGTGGAGTAGAAAGGCTTGACATGTTCTTCCCATTTGACCCATGCTTATTGAAGATGTCTGACAGGTTCGTGTTACTTCGGAAAAAAACATAACTGAAAGGAACAACTAGTTTTTATTGAATTCCTATATTATTATGTCAGAGCTCTAATTGGGGTAATTAAGAGGACTTAAGTTGTCTACTTCCATATTTTCTGGTTCTTTTAGACTTAAAACTGGCTGAGGATAATCACCACATGCAACAGTTGCTTAAATAAGCCTTCTTTTGGAGTTCTAGACCTGTTTACTAGGGATGCCACCAAACCCATTTCAGTCACCTCTGCATTTAACCCAGTCTTATTTTTGAGTCGCAGACTATTTTGTTGGGGATACGAGAATTTTTTAATGTTGTTTTATTAACTTTGCTGTTTAGACTTAAAGTACACAGTTGAGACTGGAGAAATTGGTTTTTCCAGCGTTGATTTCTTCCAGTTGCTTATTGGTGTTGCACTGACCACTGGTTGTTTCTTTTCTTCTAATCACTTAATCTGTAGATTCATCCGGCCAATCTTCATTTACTGGTCATTGGTCAGGCCTAATTATTTTGGTGGCGAAGATGATGAATTAAGCAGTGATGAAGATGTTGCCGAGGATCGGTTTTATAGAAACAAAATGAATGTTGAGGGTGGTATAACTGGCACAAGCTTTGACGAGGATGATGGAATCGGCAGAAGTTTTGAGGAGGATGATCCTGATCTTGATGAATTTGACTATTCACTGAACAAAATGTCCATCACACCCAAGAATTCCCTGAATTACACGTTCGAAGGTCAACTACAGCGACGTATGCAGATGCCCTCTAGAATTAGACCCTCCACAAGTCCCGAGTCCTTGTGATTTTCTGAGGCTCTTTACTTTTTTCTGGAAGAGAAGGAAAATTGGAATGCTTATTGACATGGGGAAACACCCAATCTGCCAATTTTTGTCCCCGTCTCAGCAGTGTGGTACGGGTTTGGGCTCATAGTTTATTCAAGTTTCTTCAGTGAGGAGTGAAGAAGTATGGGATATGGTTTCTCTCCTGCCGAAGGGGTGGTATTGTAATCTTGTGATGTATTTTACTACTTGAGCAATCCCATTGTAATATTTATCAAAATATTGGCTATCTAGCAGAGATGATTTTCTAATACGGTCAATGGTTGCTTTTATGAATAGCTTGATGAAAAGTCCTTAGGTGCTCACTTTCTTGACAAATATCAAATAGTTCACAAGGACATGAGCTTCTTACTTGTCTCGGATATTGTTATTTTTCCCCATTTTATATCAAATGACAATTGTCCTGGAAACAACTTTATGTCGGGTATAAAATTGCATACATTTGACTCTTGCACCATACAATGGCAAGAGGCCTTTTTTTTTAAAATCTCAGTAACCATTGGGAGGAGGGGATGGGCTGACCCCAACTATTGTTGCTGCAAGGAGTTTTTATTTTTCAAAGAGCACATTCAGTTAAGTGTTACAATAACAGAAATAGGAGAAAAGAGATCACAAGGGAATATTGACAGCAAAATTCCAAGAGACTTCTTACCATGATTTAAGAACCCAGGAACCTTTCAACTACGGTCATGGTCTTTCACCACTGCAACTAGGCTAATACAATGCAGGAATAAACATTCGTAAATTACACATTAAGCTTCCTAATACTTTGGACCGGGGTTATGCAAGCACATGCCCAGCAAAAAGGTGTTGAGAACAAGCGAGTCACTTCTGACATGAGTCATTCTATCTCCAAGGCATGGTAGCCATGCCCTGCGGATTGTTGTTATTGCAGGCTCCAGTGCTTTGGTTTAGAGGACTTCCCGGCCCTCCTGAGGACTCGCTTAGTGTTCCACGTGACTGGGGGCTGCCCCCTGATGCTCCTGAGGCAAGCTTTGGTGGAGAAATCAAACCTTCAGCTTGTCCTGATTTTGATTGCTTCCGACCATCAGCCATGAAGCTACCGACAACTACCTGAAATAGGACCAGAAATCCCAGTAATTAAGTAAAGTTCAGGGCTGGTTGGGGAAGTAATCTCTTAACAAATATTTAATGCCTCTCTTGCGAACTTTCTCAAACTTCCGAATAGCAAAATCTCATACACCGAACGGTCTTTATGTAGCAGGTAAGGCTGAATGTTGGTCCACAATGCCAACGCCCTCTCCTTTCTATGCCCCAACGATCTATCACTCTTTTTCTCTACCTCGGGAGTAAAGGAGAGATTTAGTTTCATTTTATGGTAATTCTTTACGACAGTACACCATCGAACAGTGAGCCAGTCAGGTGCTTATCTCATAGGCATATGAACTTTCAGCAACCATTTCGCATGTCAATTAATCGATAACATGAGCTATACCACCAAATCGTACAACTTATAATTAGAACATATAAATGCTGATTTAATAGGACACATAATTTTATGGTCAAGGGTAGACATGAGCAGAAATAAGCACTCAACTCCAGAAAAACAAAAGGCTGGTGTCATTGCAACATGGAACTAATGCCCAAGTCAATTACACTTACACATAACTGTCGATCAGAGATTTCCTCATCTCATCAACGATGGCACTTGGTTGGGCTTCCCTCAACTTGAAGACAGACTCAATAACAGACAGTTCTGTTGCTGTAGTGTCTGATCCACAGAATGCAGTCCAATCGTTGACTATCAAGCCAGCAGCTATCACTTCACTACCACGGTTCACAGTTCCTGCCACCAAAGGAACCTGGAGGAGGGTTGAAAGCTCATCCAAGTCTTCAATGGAGGTATGAGGATGGACCTGCTCAAAGACCAGTTTAGGTGAAAATAGAACGAAGAATAAATAACCAAACTCATTAAATTCTTTCATTTGCTCCATTCAAAGGTACAATTTCTTACCAAGCCACCTCTATTAGAGAATGCACAGTAGCTGCCCACCAGAATATTACCAGCTATTGTCTGCCTAAAAACTTCAACCCCAAGAACATCTGCAATCATTTCCTCAGTTTCCTGATAAAATAACACAGGAGAACAACACATGAGCATCTTGCATCACTGAAAACAGCATGTCTGCAACATGCAAATGATGCAAGGTGGAACTCACCATCAACCATTTTCATGCACTGGGGTTTGTTAACAATCATGCACGAAAAAACACCAGTATCTGAGAAACAGATTGATGGACAAGGCTCGAGATGCCACAAGTAACAGAGCGCATCTAGATAAGGAAGAGTGGTGCATGAGCCTAACGGCTAAAACTTGAAAGGCTTTGCTGGATTAGATAAATAGATGTATAATTTTCCAACTCCTTTTTGGTGATACCATAATGGAATTTTGCAGAGACAATGAAAAGTCACAACGATCTGCAATTTGCTAGTGCAGATCATCTTTTCAACTTAAAGGATTAAGGAACATAGGATCAAATAAACAGAAGAGGTGTCAAACACAGAGATTGACACTGCATTGCAGCAGGACAGAACTACTAGAAAACATGGGAGACATGGATTTGTGACCACAGACTTAAACAAACACAAAGCAATCAGCATCCAAGGTTTTAGGATAACAAAAATCAATAATGCATATAATACAACATATATAGGAGAACAAATGGGTGAGATTAGACAAGATCAAATACTATAGGTAACTAAATTTGATTCTTATGCTAGCCTATCAAGAATCCACAACGATGGAGATCTTTAGGAATGTTTATGGACACTGATTGTGAAAAAAAAAAGAAGATGAGATGCCTCCACTGGGATCAGAATCTTTATTTGGATTGCTACCATGCGGGGGTGTAGAAATTGACAAAAGGTGGATTGGCCTTCAACACCTTTGAGGTGTTCAGTTCAGGCCTTATTTGGCAAGAGTTCAGCTGTAAATGAAGGAGAGAATCTAAAGACTGACACTGATTGCTTTAGTTCTTGAATCACAGCATGTCTCCAATCTCCTCCTTTAAAGACATCTTCATACAGCTTATACAGACAAACTTGAAGTGGAAATGGGATAAATTAATGGCTAAAGCATAGTCTGTGATCAACAAATATTCATTACCCAATTTAGTCCACGCTGACCGAATTGTAGGGAGAAGTGGCTAGGTAGAAACCTAAATGCTTAAATTTTAAACAGAACAAGTTATAAAATAACTTTAAGATCAATGATATTTAAGGTATCTAGAATGGGCACTGAAGCCACAAGGTTATCATAAAACAAATATTTGAATAAAAGATACTGAGATAACAGGACATAGGAGGAGATTATTAATGTTTGAATGCATACATAGAAGTTAGAGATGGCACAACCGAGGACGTGATTGAAAAAAATATACGAATGAGATTACATAACCATCTGTAGCAAACAATCAAAAGTTGCATGATTAAAAAGGAGTACCTAGGTTCAACTTGAAGCAACAACAAAAACAGTTAAGGTCATTTTTTGCATAAAGAAAATTCAAAAACTGAAATAAAAAGGTGTCACTGCCGCAAAAGGAAGACAGAATAGCTAGTGATTTTGACAGATATTACCAAATAACGAAATGTAAAAAACCACGAGAAGTTGGGACACAACGTGGTTAGAAAAACATGAACATTACAAAGAAAAAAATCATATGCAAAGTAGGACAATAGGTGACGCCCAAAGACAGCCCACAAGAGCAGATGAGCAAAGGTCAACACACACACCCTATTCACTTGTGTAAAGTAGATTAACTCATACATCGCTTTGAGTGTGCTCTTCCATCATACCACCAGCATATGAACTTCCACCCTCACTAAAAGACCAAAAGGAAGAGACAACCAAAATGGACCACTCAATTAAGAGGATAAGAATATCTGTACATTTGGTAGACATATACCATTCCAGGAATTATTCTAGATACACTGTTCTTTGCTGAATTTATGAGAGAGAGGGAGATGCAACAAAAAATTATCTTATCCACAAGGATTAGCATTGAAAATTCAAATTGCTAGAAAGAAATTTGATTGGCAAACATTTTGTCCAAAAAAAGAGATGACATTACCCTGTCCAGATCAGTGTGCGTAAGAGCAACATGGTCATTGCATGCAATGCAGTTCCCAAGAGCAGATAGTCTCTCTTCAATGCGCTGAACAACAACTTGATCTGGCAGACTGTTCCTTAAGTGTTGAAGTTCTTCAATAAGTCCAACAAAAAATACCATCAAATGTGAGTCCTCCATTGGTAAACACTGACAGATATCTAAACTAAAATTTGTAAGACAACTGAAGTAAATTAAAGTACACATGAAGCAGAAATGAGAAAGATATCCTTCAAAAAACATATTATAGCTAATAAGTAACTAACAAGTCCCAAAAAATTCGTAACTGCTGAATCCATTGAAAATAAACACATCAGTAGAAGTTACCAACCAATACTTCTAGACAAGCACCAGCTTGTTTAAAACTGTTTGGAGTTTTAATAATATATCTGGACACACATGCCCTTTAATTAAATTGATACCACTAGCTGATATTGCCAACATTGGAGGTCAAAGGACACCACAGCATATCCTGGTGCAGATTAATCATTGTACGTAACACCACTGACTGATACTGCAAATAAGGGAGCTTAAAAGGCACACGATGACCAATGAGACTTTAAATACATAATCACAATTCATCAGATTTTTTTCTGGCCCAAAATAAGCTCAAATTGACCAAGGATGAGCTAGAAAATCTTCAAATATTAGTCATGCCGAAGAGAAGAATCTGATATTTTATGAAAACCAACGATAGTTTACAAAAGTGTAACTACACACAACTGTGGAATTAAAAAGTTGTCATTAGCATAACTTCCAAGTTTCTTTCACGGAATTTTAACCAAGCTTCCAGTAAATTGCCAAAGCCCATGACATGGTATTGAACTCATTGAACATATGCCAGAGCTCAAAACTGGGATACAGTTTATAAATACACATTGCCCATACCAACCCAACTTTTCCTCATATGAACTTTTTTTCTCCTGTGACCTGGACCCCTAAGGCAATATGCATGAATAATCTTAATCATTTGAATAAAATGCCTAAGAGTTCTGCCAAGTTCTTGTTGTGTTAACTCTTCAGTTTGATGCCTAAATCCAACTCTATTTCTGAAAAAAACACTATATATCAAAATTTTTCTTATCAGAAAAAGCAAGCAACTACTCATAAAATTAAGCTGATTGATGGACAGACAGCCACATAAACTGTCAAACTGCAAAACCTTGTTTCCTGTCAAAACCTATCATGTAGGCACATGTGAGTGTGTGTGTGTGTGTGTGTGATGTAAGGATCAAATTGCAAATCCTGTTAAAAGCATGGGGAGGAGAGTGAAAAAGAAGAAACTTGCAAAAAAAATGCAATGAATGACAAGAACAATAATAAATTATGGATAAAATATGTGTACAATACTTCTGCAAGTAGTAATGTTTGTGTCACAGAATCACCTTGGTCGGTAGTTGTGTGAGGCACAAGAAGCCCATTTTTGTTTCCTGCCATACAAAGCATGCAATTGCATTTAATTACTCATTATACAGTTCAGAACATTTCATAAGGGCATTCTTGTGCAATATTATAAAAGAACGTCAATATCCTCACCGGCACAAAGTCGTCCAATTATCCTAGTCCCACCAATGGAGGTTTTAACCACCGGAATAACATCCACTAACTCACCCTCAAACAAACTGCACGAGACGTTATGTTAACCATATACATATATCTACTCCAACCAATTATGAACTACAGACACAAAAGACTGGATGTACTCATCAACGAAACAAACCTGTAGAAATTTTCAGAACCTCCGATGGCAACCAGACAGTATGCATTCGTCAGCTTGGAAAACACCCCAACTTCACATGAGTTCTCAAATTGCAGCCCTTCACAAAACTCATGCCAGATTAGATCAATTAAATCAATAAGAGAAAGGTTTTTGTTTCACAAATTCAAATAATAAAACCGATTAAAATCCTATAACCAGTCAATTTCATTCCAACCACAACAAATCTCTCTCTCTCACACCCACACCCACACCCACACACACACACACACACATATATGTTGATACAAATTGGGTACCTGAACAACTTACTAGTTGCCATGATGAGAAGAAAAAAGGGTTGGGAGTAATTTATGATTTCAGAGAAGGAATAGATCTGCAAAAGTCATAACACAGCACACAAATAGTTTCAGAAAACGAACCAACAATTAACAACGGGTGTGTGAAAAATTGACACCCAAAACAAAAAGAGATTCAAATACCTTTTGCTCCAAGTAATCAGTTTGCCTCAAGACCGCAGCTTTGACGAAACGCAATTCTTCAATTAGGGTGTTGTGGATAGTGTTTTAAACAAACGATGATTTGTGTTTTAGGGTTGACTTTATTCGGCTTCATCTATGGTCTCAATAGTACATAATGTCATTAATAAAAATCATGGGGCTTGAACTGAAAAAATGTTAATCACACTTTTTACCTCTAAAATATGATCCAACTCAACTTTGATTCTTAAACCTTTTTGTGTCGATGTCATCCTCATTTATAGTTATTATTAAAGCATCTCTATCCTTGACTCAAATTATTACTTAAATTTAAGTAAAAAATTTAATTTAATACAAAATACTTTAACAAAAAAACTCAAATTTAAAAGAGAACAAATTCAAACTTAAATGAAAACAAATTCAATTTAAGAGAAAATAGAATATAACCATTAAATCTTTAAAATATAATGAAATCTGATAATTTTAGAGTAAAGGTTTAAGTCTCCCTACATTTTGGAAAAAATTTATAAATTATAAATTTATTTTTAGGTCTAAAGTAAAATAAATAAAAAAATTTGAGAAAATCCTCCAAAATAATATATGTCATAGTCTTACCATAGTTTTTGGCTAGTCTGACAAAAGATAAAACACATCAACCGTTTAAATTGAGCAAAATCCGCATAAAAATTGGTTCATTATAAAATGATGTTTCAATTATTGGATAATAAAAACTATATAAGAGCCTAAAATATTATTAGTGTTTTTTCTTTACGAGAGAATAATTGTACAATTATAGTGTTTGAAATTGACTAAACCTAATTACAGAACAATCTGGGATGTAACCCAGAGGGTGTGTGAACATGTGTGTGATAGAAAGTGTGTCAAGTGTTAAATGTTAGACAAACACCACAATAAGAGTGGTTCACTCTAATCGAAAGACTAAAGTTACATCTACAAGAGGCTCTTACTATTTGAGAATTGTATTGTTTGGGAAAGAAGATTGTTGTTACAAGATATTTAGCTGAAAGTTTTTTACAAAATATTGCATAGGTTATTTCTGGGTGGTCTCTTTTTTCTATCTGTGTCTTATCGTTAGTTATTTATGCATCCGATTGTTAGGTTTTCGTGGTGATTACATTTTGGTTGATTTTGTGATCTTCTCTGTGTTTGTCTTGTTTCGGAGGCTACCATCTTTGTCGCTTTTTATGCATCAATTACACATCGATTGAAATATGTGAGTCATCTCTACTACCAGTGGATATTCGTTCATCAGAATTATCAAGTATTGCCCTCTGTCCCCTATCCACGTTGTTGTGTTGTAGTTCTTGCTAAATAGCTTGGTGTCCAACTTGAGTCCAATAAATGTTATCTGAATGAAGTGATTTCGCCTTACGTGAACCCAAAGAATTTTGGGCTCCAAATGAGGCACATACTTAAATTCATCATCATCAATAAACATCAAATTATCACACAAAATTACAATACTCAATACAGTAACTAAAAATAGAGAAGAAAGTAAAGGCGAATATAATTTGCAATTAATCAATTAGTCCTCCATCACTCTTTCAAGGACGTAAGGTTGAAAGATTGAGAATAATTGACAAATTTTAATATGCACAGCTGTAATCGGGCTGCTCATTGGATGACAGCTGCTAAACTAACCAATTTTCTACCTTTGAACTGGTTAGGCTTCCCCTCTCTCGAGCTTAAGGCTTCCCTCCTTTCTGATTGTAACCAAAATTTTCTTATATAATCTATATCAACACTTTCTTGTTTTGATCAAAAAAGAAAATGCACAGCTTACTAAAAAACAATAATCACCCCCGAAATTAATAAATTCTAATATATTGAATAATTTCAACCACAAATAGAGATTGTACCTAATGAGAGGCTATAAAACAAATGATTGTGCCAAAGTTTGAAAATTTCATTAATTTAATAAAAAAATTATGGAATGATACTAATAATTTTAAAAACTTTGGATCTGAAGTTTTGTGTTGATTTAATATCCCCTGATATTTAAAATATTACACATAAATCTCTTCAAGTTTGTACACATGTAATACTTAGACCATTATTGTCAATGTTCGTTAATAAATTATACTTAGGTAAAAAAAAATTAGATTTTTTTATTTATTTTATATCAATGACATAATAAAAAATGAATTTTGATTGTAAAATTTAAAATATTTGATTAAAATATTTTTTGTCTAACTATAACATTGAAAACTTGAGGAGTTTAAATATTATGCACATACAAATTTAAGGGAATTTGTGTGTAATTTACTAGACGGGGGTGTCAAGGTCTAAAATAACTTTAGTAAAATATATATTAAATTTAATCTTTATTCTAAATTTAATATAAATCACTAATCATAATTTGTGTTCTCTTACTAATCTGATATTCTATATATTGTTTTAATAAAATATATAAAAAAAATTTACATTCATCTATTAATTTCTCGAAAGTGGAATAATGTGCACCAATTGTGAGATTTTGTTTTGGTTTCTATATGTTTTTATGCCAGTTTTATCCTCCAAAAGAATTTATAAATACTCTTTATTTCATAAAAAATAATTATCACGTATCAAGTGCATGGTATGTGAAATTTCAACAAATGAAAAATAAAGTAAAAGTTACTCAATTTAACAAATTTTTATCTTTTTTTTAATTCTAATCTTATTTTCTCATTAATTTTATTTAAAATCATAATTTCTATTAAATAATTTGTTTTTTTATGTCAAATTATAATGGGTTAATTATAAATTGCACTTTGAAAGATCGTTCAAATCTCAATTTGCACCCTTACAGATAAAAAATCTCAATTTATACCCTCAAAGATAGAAATTTATATTAATGTGCACCCCCAAAGATCAAAAATTTTAATTTGCACCCTCAAAGATAGAAATTTGTATCAACGTGCACCTAAAATTAAATTGATAAATTATACCTAGATCCTCTTATACTTGTCACTTAATCATTTAAACCCCTTCACATTTAGAATATTACTGTTACATCTCATGACGTTTGTGCCCGTGTAACACGTAACCCCTTTTTGTTGATATCTATTAATATAATCGTTAAAAAAATAAGATTTTATCCTAATAAAAAATTATAATTTCATATTATTTTATGGGTCCAATATACTCTAAAATTCAAAATCAAGCTTACCATTTGAATGTCTAATAGAATAAAGGATTACACATTGAGTGATATATTGCATTGAATATAAAAAATATTATATAAATATCTACATTCTATTGGACATTCAAAGTTTGATTTTGAACTTTAGAATATATTAAACCCACCAAATAAAAGGTAATATGAACATATAATTTTTTATTAGGATAAAATCATATTTTTTAACGGTTATATTAACAGATATCAACGAAAAGGGGTTACGTGTTACACATGGACAAACGTTATAAGATGTAAGAGTAATATTCTAAATATGAAGGGGTCCAAATGATTAAGTGACAAATATGAGAGGATTTAGGTATAATTTATCAATTTAGTTTTAGGTGCACATTGATACAAATTTTTATCTTTAAATGTGTAAATTGAGATTTTTTATCTTTGGGGGTGTACATTAATACAAATTTCTATCTTTGAGGGTACAAATTGAGATTTTTAATCTTTGGAGATCTAAATTGAGATTCGAACTATCTTTCATGGTGTAACTTGCAATTAACCCAATTATAATTATTGTGTCTTTTTTTTCATTTTTTCATTTTATTTATTTTTGATTATAATACTTTTGAAGACTTAATTAATCATTCGCCCTTTGTGTAGAGATGACAATGAATCGAGAAAAAGTGGAGATTCGTCGAAATCCATCCCATTTGGACCAACGATGGATAATCCTTATTAGACATTAGACGTATAAGTAAATATTCGTATAAACCGTGCGGGTATTGAGAAGTGATGGACTATATATATGGGTAAATTATATTTTGACCTCTTAAGATTTACCACTTGAACATATAAACCCCCTCACATTTTAAAATTCAATAGCAACCAGTAAACAATCCTAACAAAAGTTACAAAATATCTATTCGACCTTTTGATAAAAAAATAAAAAAAATCAATTTGATGGTGATTGGCACTACGGTGGTGGCAATGGATGTGTGATGTGTGTCTCTGCCTCTGTTTCTGTCTTTGCGTGGTCAGTTTCTATATATATATATATATACACACACACACAAACTGAGAGAGAGAGAGAGAGAGAGAGAGAGAAACAGTGAATGTGTGAGTGAAAACCCATATATGTGATCACTTGATTTGGGATTTGGGATGTCGGGGGTTTTATGAGTTTGCAAAGTCCGGTGTCGATTTTGGGTTTAGAGCTTAGGTAGTGGAAGGTGGTCAATTTTCCAGACTCTCTCTATCTCCTTCAATGCTAATTCCTTCGTTAGTTTTGAATTCTTCCATTCTTGAATTAAATCAGAGTCACTTATTCCAATCAAAAAAACAAAGAATTCAAGAAAGGGTGGTGGTATATGTATGTCAGTGTGCAAATATGTATTTAGAGGGGGTTGGTAGCTGTATAAGCTGTTACTGGGTAAGGGGAAATAAGAAAGAGGATCGGGTGGTGGCTGGGTAAAGGGCGATGCGTAGAGGTTGGTGGCTAAAGTTTTTGACAGAGTTAGGGTTGGTTTCTTTTTTTTTTATGACAATTTTTCTAAATTGTTGAGTTATGTGGGATTTATTTGATTTAATATGGTTCTTGTAAGGGGTAATTTAGGAATTTTGATTTAAAAAATAATTGACAGCATTAAAATTGGACGACACTTTAACCAGATTCTAACATTAAGGGCCAATGTGTTATAACAAACCAAATCT